TATTCTGCTCTGCATCATCCTTCTGCCCTCTCATTTTTCTCTGCATCCTGCATGGCATCACTTCCGACCTCCTTACTTCTATATACCGTACAAACTAACATACTTACAGATGGTTGCAAGTGTTGTGCCTCCAAGGTAGTCACACCCAAACACAAACAGGTCAAAATAAAAATCAAAACATAATAAAAATATGTATCATTTCATTGCAAATTTTCCCCTTGTTTCTTTGCATCAACATTAGGATGTTATATTGAGTATTAAAATGATGTGTAGCATATTTTCCTTGAGTTTCATTAAGGGTATTAAAGACAGAATTGCAGAATATTTGTTACAAAAGTAAGGGTTGGGTCACTTAGGATTGAGAGCCATTATGCTAGATGTACACCATTATACCATGCATACATATGACAAAATGTAATTGGGTTTTCAGTGGCCTGATGTGAATAAAGATAACACAGTCTTCGTAATCTTCAAAATTATACATCAGATTACATTACATAAAAGACATTTATACCTTGTGTTTAGGTATATTACATAAATAGGAGACAAAGAAGCTTTTATTATTCTTAATATGGCCATACGTATTTCATAACTCTAACCATTCGTAAGAATATTTATAATTGTACCAAATAGGATTATTCTGCTCTTTGCCCATTTTTCTTTCCCGAGAGTGGTTTTAATCAAGTGGACAGGATCTTGCTAATAGTCACACTGCAGAGATAAAAGCAAAATGGATTCCTAGCCTCCCACTGTAGTGTTGTTAATATCACACCCCTCGTTTCCGGGCCCATTCAGTAGTGAATATTCTCCATGAAAGAGGATAATGGATATAATGCTATTTAGCTTCTGTTCCCCCCAAAGCCCACCTCGAGATAAGAATTTAGGTGCAAATCCCACCTCGGTATTTAAGAGGTGATCCCAGGAAGCACGATGAGGAGCTAGGGAAGAAGGCAGTCAATAATGAGCAGGTCACAGCTGTGGGTGTCGGGAATTAAATCCTACTAAAAACCCTTTAAGAGATTGAGCAGAACACACCTCAAAAATGTCTCACCAACAGACAAGAAAGCTGGGCTATTTGCCCAGCAGCCCTCCCTCATTAGATGAGTGTTGCTCCTGGGGGTTATAAACCACCCTGCACTTTCAGCCTGCTTCATGTGTGGACCGAGCACACTCCTGCATCCAGAGAGAGCCCTTAGGCAGAGAGACATAGGTGCTTGTAGGAGAGGGGTCCACCGAAGCTCTAGTGACCTCCAGGATGGACAGAGAGGATATGGTTGGGACACCAGCAGCATCTGCTAAAAGTGGGGAAAAGGAAGTGAGACCAAATTGCCAATTCCCTTTATCCTATTACCTCAGATCCCAGGACAGGACATTTTTGCAGCACCAACGTTTTCCTTCTTTTAATTTATATGGCTACTGATTGGTACTACATAAGCGACTTCTCTTGATGTAGCTGCCCTGGATCCTTGCCCAAGTGCAAGCTGGATTTCAGGACATCATCAAAACAGGAAAGATAGGCCAAACATCATAATCCCATCCCCTGACCAGGCTATGTCTTCTTCCCAAACTGCCCAGATGTCTCCTGTCCATCAGAGCAAGGCCAACACCCACAGATCTACTTCCCCCAGGGTTGTGTCAACAAAGTGGGACCCTATCTCTCACATGCTCACTTGTAAGACCTACTCAAAGATGTGAAGGTCAATATCAGCTTAAATGTTTCGTCTTGCTTGCTTGTGCATCTTCATGGCCAGTTTATGCTGATTGAATCAAACTGATTCAAACTCATGTATTCAACGTAATGTTCTAAAACAAAATGCATCCATTTGATCTTTTATTTCTCCTTTTTTCCAAGGTGAGATAATCACAAAAATACTGTGTCGGAAATTTTTTATTCTTATTTCCATTGTTGGTAACATTTATTATTGTAAATCCATAGAAATGCAATTGAAAAGTGCATACACAGGAAGAATGTCACGACCACAGCAGCTAGTGAAAAAAGAACACATGAAAATATTTCAAAATTTCAGAAAATAAGCTAGAAATACAAAGTAGTGAAAACTGATCGACTATTCTATGTCACTTAATTTTGCTTATTGATTTTAGCTTTTCTTTTTTTTTTTAAGGTTTTATTTATTCATTTTAGAGGGACAGAGAGAGAGCATGAGCAGAAAGAGGGAGAAGCAGACTCCCCTGCTGAGCAGGGAGCCTGACATGTGGCTCGATCCCAGCACCCTGGGATCATGACCCAAGCCAAAGGCAGACACTCAACCGACTGAGCCACCCAGGCGCCCCTGATTTTAGCTTTTCTATTTTTTATGGAGAATGAAGCCCAGGGCTCTCTTTTATCTTTCCCAGTGTTATTAGCTGAATTGTGTAACCAAAAAAGTATATTGAAGTCCTACCCCCAGTGCCTCAGAATGTGGCCTTCATTGCAAATAGGGTCATTGCAGATGTAACTGGTAATGATGAGATCATTATGGAATAGGGTAGGACCTAATCCCACATGACTGGCTCTCCTTATGAGACTCTTACCCAGGGACATCACCCTGTGACAACAGAAGCGGAAATCGCAATGGCTGCCTCTGCCAGCCAAGGAACACCAAGGATGGCCAGCAAACACCAGCAGCTGGAAAAGGCAAGGAACAGTTCTGCCCTTCAGGTTTCCATGGGAGCACGGCCCTGCTGACCCCTGGATTTGGGACTGACAGCCTCTGGGACTGTGAGGCACTAAAGTTCTGTTGTTTTAAGCCCCCCACTTTGTGTACTTTTTATGGCAGTCCTAGGCGACACTCAGCTTTTCTCTTTAATTCATATTTTAAAATTCCCTCTCCCATCTGCTATTCACCTGTTTCCCTTTGCACTTCCTTAATTTCTAACTAGGTAAAAGCTATGTTAAGATTTACTTCTGCCCAGCAACCATAGGGACTTGGTTTATGGTGCTCTTTATAGCAACCCCATTGTCCCAAAGGTGACAATTTCTTTGATCTCCCATGTCATGTATAAGATGATAAGATCAGGAACCAAAAATCGCACTGGTAAAATCTTCCCACCCATCATGTCCACCAAATGTAAAATTGCTTTGTTAAGGCTGTGGGTTTTGGTCCGTCCAGCATCAAGGAGAGACTGTCACATGCTCACTCACCTGGCTCCAACCTCCCGCCTTCCCCTGTACCAATCTCTTTCACAGTCCTGACTCACCTTGTACTCCCTCTGCAGATGAATCTGTGGTCCAGTCACTAGGGCCAATTCTGACGTTAGGTAAGGAATGTGAGAGGTTCTGGTCCGCTGCTCTGTGATGGCGGCTGAATTCCACACCCTTGGGCTCCTTTCGCACCTTGCGCATTGCATTCCTTTATAAAAGCAGGTACACTCTACTTGGAGGTCATTGTCTAATTGCCTGTGTCTTCCATGCAATTGCAAGTGGGGCCTGTCTTTCATCTTTGTTTCCCCAAGGCTTAGCCTGGTGATTGGCACACAGTAGGCCTTCAACATATATATTCAATTGAATGAGATGAATGAGGGAAAGACAATCAAGCCATACTTGCTGCTTCCCCCCCCCCAATCTGACAATTGGATGGGCTTCAGATTGTCCAGATATCCAGCATCTGCCTCATGCCCCAATGAGTGGGTAGTGTAGACAAAGGATTTCCAAAATCATTGCAAGATAAATTATGTTCTGGGGCACCTGGCTCGCTCAGTTGGAAGAGCATGCAATGCTTGATCTTGGAGTCATGAGTTCAAGCCCCACACTGGGTGTAGAGATGACTAAAAATAAATCAATAAACCAAAAAAAAAGATAAATTATGTCCTAGGAAAGTCTCAGAAAGTCTACTGGTAGAACCGCATAAACAAAGGGATTTATTCCCCTTTATGTTATTTCAGTGGTAGTATGTATGTATAGAAACTGGGGTTGGTTCAAAGGTTAAAGTGAGGTGATCCTTCTGATTTGGCATTTTTAAAATTTTTTAAATTTTTTTTAAAGATTTTATTTATTTATTTATTTGAGAGAGAGAATGAGAGAGAGAGAGCATGAGAGGGGGAGGGTCAGAGGGAGAAGGAGACTCCCTGCTGAGCAGGGAGCCCGATGTGGGACTCGATCCCAGGACTCCAGGATCATGACCTGAGCCGAAGGCAGTCACTTAACCAACTGAGCCACCCAGGCGCCCTTATTATTTTTTTAAAGATTTTATTTATTTATTTGACAGAGCACACAAGCAGAGGAGTGGGAGGGGGAGAAGCAGGCTCCCCACTGAGCAGGGAGTCCGATGTAGGACTCGATCCCAGGACCCTGGGATCATGACCTGAGACGAAGGCAAATGCTTAACTGAGCCGCCCAGGTGCCCCTGATTTGGCAATTATTTACGACCTTGTGGACATAACTATGGGATTGGAATATTTATTTATAAGGGATTATTCAGCAATGAGTGCCCCACCAGTGGCCAAAAAGATACGAAAGAATAGCGACCTGAGTTTTCTGGACCAGCAGATAGTAGTCTGTCCTCACCTGCAGGCCAAGGAAGTTCTACCCTGTGTAAATGAGCCAGACCAACTGGGACTCAGATGGACCTTGTGTAAGCAAGCCTGACTCTGAGGAGGAAGGAACACTCATAGAAGTGGTGGGATCTTGGGGCGCCTGGATGGCTCAGTCATTAAGCGTCTGCCTTCAGCTCAGGTCATGACCTCAGGGTCCTGGGATCGAGCCCTGCATCAGGCTCCCTGCTCCATAGGAAGCCTGCTTCTCCCTCTCCCAGTCCCCCTGCTTGTGTTCCCTCTCTCATTGTCTCTCTCTGTCAGATAAATAAATAAAATCTTAAAAAAAAAAAAAAAGTGGTGGGATCTTGACACTAACCTTGGATAGTCCCTAGGACTATATGTCAGTCTGGCTGAGTGTCCTTTAAGAGACCCTAATTTGGTGCTCCTATGTTCTTCCAATGAAAACATGCCCATTGTGGGTTATAATCCTGATCTCTGGTGCTGATAACTCTTTTATTCCCTTACAGTTGCTCTGTGTAGTATCCTCAACCATACCTGCTCCACCAGCCACCAGATGATTAGAACATCTGTTCAATATCTTCCTGATCTGTTATTCATCTCAGAAGTGAGTTTTTCAAACACCTTTAGGCTTCTCTTCTCCAGACTAAATATTTCTGTAACTTTTCAACCCTTTGATTATTTTTTTTAAAATTCTCTCCAGTTTTCCATGTATCCTTACACCATGGAGTTTAAGTAGTGTATGAGACTCTACATACAAGATAGAGGCATAAAATATCAATGATCATGACATATTTGTGATGATAACTGACAAGGTCTAATCTCTTATTCCAGACTTCCTAAAGGAAAGGAAAAGAGCTTCTAACACAATCGGCTGATAAACCATAGAGTTGGATCGATAAGGAAAATAATCCACCTGAATTCTTGAGATAAAAGGTTATTTAAAAAATTATTCCATGCTCGTTAAGAACAACTTTTTATTCCTGGTAGTTTATAGAAATTCCAGCTAACAGTCCATCATACCAAATATGAAAACATTGGGTTTTAGCAACAATTCTATTTAAAAGAAATGATCTGTATACCGTTACCAGACATTGTATGTTACCATCGTGAAATGTGAACACAAACATGTATGTAAAATAGAAAAAGGTAATTATGTTTTCTATGTTTTTTATGGCACCTTGACATATTTCATATAAGACTCTTGGGAGAGCCGGAAGGGCGTGTGCGACGGTGAAGTGCCCAGAGCCTGGAGCCTGGCTTCAGATCCCAGCTCATTCTCAACTAACTGTTAGACCCGGGACAAGTCTCCTTAACTCCTTTCCTCATCTGTGGAGAGGGAATGATGGTAATAATAACACCTGCCTCTAGGGGGCTTCTGAGCATTAAATAACTTAATACATTAAAAAGAAAAATCTCTTAGAACAGGTCCTGCCCATAGTAAGTTCCTGCAATTATTATCATTATAATTTCCGTAATTATACTCTGAACATTGGCAAGGAGGCTGAAACAGTTTTCAAAATCAAGCCTGTCTATTTGTGCCAGAACTCTTAGGAGACAGTTCGTTCCTCAAGTAGTAATTAGAAATGAAGAATCAGAACAGTGTGATCATGCCTTTTGACGAAGGCCCCAGGAATACATTTTCTGGCTTAGTTCAGCTGCTCTCCCCGTGGTGTTCCCAGGGTGTGCGAATAGCAAACGGAGGGTGAGGAGACCATTCTCCTCCTCCTCCTTTCTCCAGGACCCACCTGTGGTCTGTTTATCGCTGTAGCATCTCTCGCCGGCCTGAGATCCAAATGAGGCCTCAGATGTCCACAGGGGCCCTCATGGAGGGAAGCAGCCTGGGCACCAGCAGTCAACAGACACACTTAGCTCACACGTTAATTACACGTGGAATATTCTCCCACTGACACAAACAAAAATTGCTTTCTCCCAGTTTTTAAAGACATAGGCTCACTCTATATATCTTTCATGTTCCCTCTTTTGATGGTGACCCAGATACAGAGAACTGTTTTTTGGGTTTTGTTTTGTTTTGTTTTCATGAGGAAGTTGACAATACAGGCATGTTAATAACAGCCCCTGAAGAGTTCGGAACAGGGAGTGATAGAGATCATGTCGAACTGACCAGCATGTGTCCTATCTAAGGAGTTGAGCCACTCCTAAGCTCTACTCGGGATGCCATGAGGGAATGGGAGAAACAGAAATGCAGCCAAGAGCTTTGGACTTTAATAAAGAATTTCCCAACCATTAAACATTGGCTCACAGTAACACATGTAGACCGATCAAAATAATGGTGCAGAGAGGCGACAGGTACAAGATGTCCACTCCAAGGTGCCATGGTGTGCACTAACATTATAAATTGGACATGCTATCGAGGGTGACCCTGGAGTTGTGCAACATGGTGGCATGGATCCAAACCACAGTAAGCAAGGGATCTCTCTATCTCTGAGCAGAGACAGAGAGACTGTTGTTCAGACTTCAGTGTGCATGAAACCAGTGAGATGCTTGTTTACAATGCAGAGCCCCGAGGCTCATTCCCTGAGATTCCGAGGGGAGGCCCAGGAATTTGAATTAAAAAAAACAAACAAACCATTTTTAGTCGTCTTCGTTTTTTAGAAAAGCTTTGGCTTTACAAGAAAATTGGGAAGATAGCACAAAGGATTCCCATAAACCCTACATCCGCCTTCCCCTATTATTAACATCCTATCTTACTATGGTCTATTTGTCACAATTAGGTAACCAATATTGATACATTTTGATGAACTAAAGTCCGTACTTTATGTAGATAGCCTTAGTTTTTACCTACTGTCCGTTTTCTGTTCCAGGATTCCATCCAGGATGCCCCGTTACATTGAGCTGTCATGTCTCCTTAGGCTCTTCTTGGCTGTGATGGTTTTTTTACTTTCCTTGTTTTCCATGACCTTGACAGTTTTGAGGAGTACTGGTCAGGAAGTCTGCAGGATATCCCTTTATTGCAACTTGCCTGATGTTCTTCTAGTGATAAGACTGAGGTTATAGATAGTTGGGGAAAATACCCACAAAGGTAAAATGCCATTTTCATCCTACAGTATCAAGTATACATACTATCAGCCTGACTCATCAGCCTCACGTTGACCCTGATCACCTGGTAGAGGTCGGTTAGTCCGGTTTCTCCACTGGAAAATTATCCGCTACCCCTTTCATACCGTCCTCTCTGGAAGGAAGTCCACACTTGGGCAGAGAGTTATGTTCCACCTGTTTGAGGATGTGGTATGTATATAAATTATTTGGAATTCTTCTGCACAGGAGATTTGTATCTCCTCCCCCACTGTTTATTCAACCACTTGTTTATATCAGTATAGACTCATGGACATTTATTTTATACTTTGGGTTATAAGCCAGTATCACTTCATTTGTTTTGTTGTCAAGTTATTTCGACTTTGGCCTCTGGGAGCTCTTTCGGTTGGCTCCCGTATCACGCTGACATACCCCAATCAGTGTGGGGTTTCAGTCATCTTCTTTTTTTTAAGATTTTATTTATTTATTTGAGAGAGCGTGAGAGAGAGATCATGAGCAGGAGGGAGGGTAGAGGGAGAAGCAGACTCCCCGCTGAGCGGGGAGCCCGACGCGGGGCTCGATCCCAGGACCCTGAGATCATGACCTGAGCCAAAGGCAGACGCTTAACCAACTGAGCCACCCAGGCGCCCTTGAGTCAGCATTTTCAAAAAGCTCCCAAGTGATTCTGGTGCTGGTGGTCCAAGGACTGCACGGTGAGAAAATGTGGCTTGATGGTGTGCTGTGAGCTCTGCTAACCACAGAATCCCACCCATTCGCTGATTCCTTCTGCAAGCCACCTCTGTCTACTGGACTCGTTCAGCAAACACAGACTATCAGCTCCCTGCCTCCTCCCAACAGGCACTGTGCTAGATTCTGGGAATGCAGAGCTTGTCTGGGAATTCAGACTTAGGTGGACATGCTATGGGGGAAATAGGAATGTGGCTAACAAGAGAGAGGAAAAGAGTACCTGCCAACATTTTACCCATCCTTAGCTTCCCAGAGAGCTTTTCTAGAGAAAAGAACGTATTAAGAATTGAGAGAAGATACAAGGGACAGAGCAGAATAGGGGACATTGGAGGGGTTGGGCTCAAAAGCACCTATGGAAGATTTGGAATTAAACAGAAAAAAATGCTTTATCCTCTGAGACTGAGAAAAGGAAATTGGCTATAGAAATTTTATAGATTGGCTGATGTTGGGGGAGGCATGTTTGAGGTCACCTAAACGGCTTTAATTTTCTTTCTTTTTAAAGATGTATTTATTTGTTTGTTTTAGAGAGACAGAAAGAGAGAGAAGCAGAGGGAGAGGGAGAAGCAGACTCCCTGCTGATGAAGGAGCCCGATGCGGAGCTCAGTCGCAGGACCCCGAAATCATGACTTGAGCCAAAGGCAGACACTTAACCAAATGAGCCACCCAGGTGCCCTCAACAGCTTTAATTTTCTGAATGAAACAGGATGCCAGGTCATCCTTAGGAGAGGGAGGGGTCTGGAAACAGAGGCTGGAATAGCGTTGAAGTTTTGAAATAGCGGTTGGGGTGCATCGGTTAGAATCAAGTCAGGAGACAAAACCACAGCAATAACTTGAAAAAAGAGAATTAAATATAAAGAATTGTTAACCTACTTCATGATAACCCCAAGATACCACAGAGGAGCCAGCTACCACCTCTCGGGCTAGACAAACAAAGGGAAATGCCTGGAATAATTAAAACATTACAACTTAGAGGAGTGGTCCCATGGGACTGGGACCCAGTAGTCAGAGGAGGGGATGCTGGCTGGTTGGTGATGGTCAGGAGCGATGTGTTGCAGGTCTGCAAGTGTTGGACCACCTGGAAACTGGATTCGGCTGCTACTGTAGGAAGGCACTGCCTCTCCTGGGGGAAGAGGCATTGCTGGGGTGTTGCTCAGAGGAATCACAGGCAGAAAGGAGGTCACTGTGCCCTCTTCTTCCTCCAGGCTTGCAGCCTTCCTGCAGCACCCCGAACTGGAAGAGCCCAATGCGTGGTTTGCAGGGTCTCAACCAAGCCAAGTAGAGAGGCATGGGTTTGGAACTGAGAGACAATGATGGTCATGGGCCACCTCTCAACCATGTGAGTGACATTTAGGGACTAAATACACTTGTGGGTCTGTATACTGGCTGAATTTCTTTACTCCCTTGTCTGCAAATCATTTCTTGTTCTCTTAGGCCTTTGCCATGTTGGAGATTTCTTCTCATTCCAGGGGTCAGCCCCTGATTCCCTTGGTTGCTTAACCTCTTCCAGAAAAGTCTTGATGGACCATCTGGTTCAAAAGGAACCAAAGGGTTACCCCATCAACCCAACAAATGGAAAAACAAAATGTGGTATATACATGTGACGGGCTATTGTTCAGCCATAAAAATGAAGGAAATTCTGACACGTGCTACAAAGTGGATGAACCATGAGGGCATTATAGAAGTCAGTCCTAAAAAGACAAATACTGTATGATTCTGCTTATATGGGGCACCTAGAGTAGTCAAATTTATAAAGACAGAAAATAGAATGCGGTTGGCAGGGCATGGTGGGGTGGGGAAATGGGAAGTCCGTGTTGAGTGGGTACAGAGTTTCAGTTTTGCAAGATGAAGAATGTTCTCTAGATGGAGGGTGGTGATGGTTGCTCAACAATATGAATATACTGGATGCCACTGAATGTGCACTGAAAAAATGATTAAGATGGTGAATTTTATATTGTGTGTATTTTACCACAATGAAAAAAATTTTTTTAGAGATCAAAAACAAGGTTACAGCTGGAGGGAATAGGTGGGTGGGTCTGACCTGGTGGGTCACATGTCTCTATTTTGTGGTTCATTCCTCAACTCAACTTCATGAGTGGCATTTTCCAGGCCTTGCTTCATAAGTTCCAATGAGCTTATGTCCTCATTTCCTTGGCTGCACACATACCCCAGATGTATAAGCGTAGAAACAGCCCTCTCTCCTTGTACCAGGGGATGATACTACTACCTAATATCTGTTTTTAACCCAAATTGTCTTTTTCTTTTCTTAGCATTTCTTTCCAAAGATTTTATTTTGCAGTAATCTCTACACCCAACGTGGGGCTCGAACTCACAACCCCAAGATCAGGAGCCTCCCACTCCACCAACTGAGCCAGCCAGGCGCCCCACTAATAGCTAATATTAACTGAGTATTTACAATATGCCAGTCACGTGTACTAACCAGAACAAATTTCCTTTGCAGACACTCTTCTCATCTCCGTATTACAGAGGAGGAAACCAAAGCTTAGGTTGTGACTAGCCTCAGGTCGCCTAACTGCGAAGGGGAGAAGCCAGGACTGAGCTTGCACCCCAACCGCTGTACTCTACCGCCCCCTAGTGGACCCTGGTCTCGCGGCGTTTCCCCGACACTGCACTCCGGGAGGAGCACCCCGGTGTCCCTCCCACTGGGCAAGAAGTCATTTTGCAGTCGTTATATTGTGCTTTCAGGGCGGTCCAGAGACCCCCTCCTCCCAGCCCTGGCACCACACTGGCTGTGTAGGGCAAGGGACAGCAGTGGCTGAGTTTGGCGCATGCCTAAGCAAAGCTCCTCTGGTGCTCAACCCCCGGGAGCAGCCCTGGTGGGGGGATTGTCCTGTGTGGGTTACAGTGTTCCGTCGCTCCCTGCAGGAACCTCTCTGATAGATGTGACCGTTTTCCTAAGCCTCTCTGGTTGTACGGATGCTTGGAACCATAAAGAAACTCCTGGATTTCTAGATCCCAGCTATACAAAGTGTTTTCTAAAGTCAGCAACTCTCCAAGTGTCTCTCCTGATCTGAGTGGGCTGCGTGGGGTTGTGAGTGGGGGATCTACCCCTTGAGAAGTGCCTTTCCCACAGCACACGGGCCCCTGGGGGTGCCTTCGGCATTTCTGGCCGGTAAGGGTCCCGGTCTCTCAGGTGAGCAGATACCGTCTGTTGTTTGATCCAGGATTCCCACATTACATTGGGTGGTTCAGTGTGTTTAGTCTCTTCTAATCTACAGTAATCCTCCCTCCCACCTGATAGTTTATTGTTTTGTCTCGTGGAACTCTTTGGAAGAGTCTGGGTGAGTCGTTTCAGATGGTCTCCGATGCGGAATTTGTCTAATAGTTTCTTCATGATTGGATTCAGGTTAAATATTTTTGGCAAGAATACTTTGTAGATGATGTTTTGTACTTATTGTCTCACATTACAAGGCACAAAAAACCTCCTTTGGGAATTACACACTCAACAAATACATATTGATAGCATGTTGCATGTTGAGTTGCGAACTCTGCTATGCAATGAGGATGCATGGGTGCCGTTGATAGATTGTGAGGTGAGAGGTTTAAACAGAACCAAACAAAACCACAACAGCAGGCTTAGCAATTGGCAATCGGTTTGGCTGCACATAACAGAAAATTCAACTCACAGTAGCTAAACCAAATAGAGGTTTAGGTTTTGGTTTCGGTTTTAATTTTGTATTTTGCACAGCTGCAAGTCCAGTGCTGATATGATAGCTTCACCATATTCTCTTTCTCTCTTTCTATCTGCCATCATTAGGGGATTGCTTTAGTTCCCAAGGACCCATGACTTCTGCCCTTCAGACGTTTGACCTCCTGCCGGGCAGGAAGGAGAAAAAGGGCATGCCTACTGACTGCTGTGCTTTGAAGGAGTTTTCCCAAAAGCAGCTCGGAGTGATTCTGCTCATGTCTCATTGGTTAGGATTGTGTCACATGGTCAACGGCATATGCAAGCTTGTGTGGGAACACTGCTACCCTTAACAAAAACAGGGCTCCTGGCCCGGTGGCTCAGTTGGTTAAGTGTCTGACTTTGGCTCAGGTCATGTTCCTGTCCTGGGACCGAGTCCCACATCAGGATCCTTGCTCAGCGGGGAGCCTGCTTCTCCCTTTGCCTCTGCCCCTCCCACCCATGCGTGTTCTTTCTCTCTCTCTCTCAAATAAATAAAATCTTTAAAAACAAAAAACAAAAACAGGACTCTATTAGTAAGGAAGAAGGCGAGAATAGATATTAGGTAGGCAACTGGCAGTCTTGGCCATGGAGGATAACAAAGACCTTTAATGGCTGGGGAGACAGCTACACAGATTAAACATGAAAATTGGAAAGTTCCCACCAACTTAGGGAAAACCTGATTGTTCTGTAGCCATGGTAACAAGTAGCCACTAGAACTGGTTTTATATCCATTCAATCGATTGATGACAACTTGCCCCAGTGAACATATCTTTACAGGCTAAACAATTAGTTCAACCCCTATCTTATGAAAATAAGCCAGAGATTGGCTCACTTTATTTATTTATTTATTTTAAAGATTTTATTTATTCATTTGAGACACAGAGATACAGAAAGAGAGAGGGCATGAGCAGGGAGAGGGAGAAACAGGCCTCCCGCTAAGCGAGGAGCCCGATGCGGGGCTCGATCCCAGGACCCTGGGATCATGACCTGAGCCGAAGGCAGACGCTTAACCATCTGAGCCACCCAGGTGCCCCTTGAGATTGGCTCACTTTAATAAACACACCTGAGTGCCAACCAATCAACAATAGCTCGGCCAGCAACTACACTTCTACAGATGACATTAACCCACTTATGCCCCCGAAAGTCTCCCAATTCCTGAGCTCATGTTCCCAAAACCCTATGTAAGTGAACACTGTACTCCACACAGAGAGACTGAGTCTGGCCAGCATAGCTCTCCCTTACTAGATAAGCAATGCGTTCAGCTTTGTTTTCTTATTTCAGGTATCAAATGTGGTCCTGTTATAATAAAACCAGAATCGTATTTTTTAATTTGTTTGTATCCTCCATGGAGGACGCATTCCCCAAGCAAAGCCTTCAAACATCTCCCTCCGTAGCCTTAGTGGACAAGGCTCCAGAGCACGCAGAGATGTCTGTAAGCATCCAGCAGCACAGGATGATGGAGAAAGGCAAGACAAAGACCCAGAGCACCTGGCATAGGGGAACCATCCAGATGTAGACAGTTATAGGTGATCTGTCTGTTTAGAGCAGACCTCTTGCTTACTGTTCAAAAATAGAGGATAGAGGCAGGACACTAACTCAACAGTTTAGGGCAGGAGTAGGAACACTAGGGTCTGTGGGCCAGTCTGCCTCCCCTCCTACACACCTGCACCCCGCCCCCAGCCTTGTATTTAATATTTTTAAGTGGTTACATTTGGGGAAGGGAAATAGCCTTTTTGTTGTGGTGGTGGTGGTAGTAAATTATATCTAACACAAAATTTACCATTTTAACTATTTTTATGTGTACAATTCAGTGTATGTTCTCAATGCTGTGTAACAATTACCACTATCCATTTCCAGAACTTTTTCATCACTCAACAGAACTCGGTCCCCATTAAACAATAACTCTCCATTCCTCACTCCCTCCAGCCTCTGGTAACCACTGTTCTCCCTTCTACCTTCTGTCTCTACAAATTCGCCTATTTTAAGTACCTCATATAAGTGGAATAACACAATACTTGTCTTTTTGTGTCTGGCTTATGACTCTTGTAAAATATTATTTCGAGATTTATCCATGTTGTGGCAGGTGTCAGACTTTCCTTCCTCTTAAGCTGCATAATATTCAATTGTATGGATATGCCTCACTTTGTTTATCCGTTTGCCTTACTGGGGAACACTTGGGTTGTTTTCACCTTTTGGCTACTGTGACTAATGCTGCTAGAACACTGCTACCCAAGCAGAAGTGTTAGTTTTACATTTATATGAGCAACTACACAATATTCTCTCTCTCTTGCCTCTTGGCATTCTAAGTCTAACATCGCTACTCTCTGGCACTCCGCAGGAAAAGTTTGCCAACCCCTAGTTTAAGGGATGGGCTCAGGACAGAGAGTGATCCTGGCAGAAGTCCATTCATATTGGCTTGTTGAATGAGGAGGAGAGAAGAGAAGAGTTGGTATTTGCTGGGAACGAACACGTGGGGCTTGCATTTGTTTGCTAGGACCGCCATAACAAAGTACCGCAGACTGGGTGGTGGGAAACTACAAAAATTTATTTCCTCAGTTCTGGAGGCTGGAAGTCCAAGATCAAGGGGTCAGCAGGGTTGGTTTCTTTCGGGGGCCCCTCCCTCCTTGGTTTGTAGATGGCTGTGTTCTCCTTGTATCTTCACATGGTCTTCCCTGTGTGTGTGTGTGTCCGTGTCCTCATCTCCTGTTCTGAGAGGGACACCAATCATCCCATTAAGGTGGGATTAGGGCCCACCTGAATGACCTTATTCAGCCTTAATTACATCTCTGAAAGCCCTAGCTCCAAACACAGTCACATTCTGAGCTGCTGGATGGAGGTTAGAGCTTCAACCCCAAAATTCTGAGGGAACACAATTCTGCCTCTACCAGAGTCCACACTCCACCCAGGAGATGCCAGGCCTTTAAAAGACCAACAAATTCTTAACGCAACCTGGTAGCGACGGTGTTGGAAGTGAGGAAATACACTGATGTGCTCCTGCCCTCATAAATATTGGCTCAGAAACTGGGTAGGTCTGAGTCGGCTGGTGGAGAGAGCTCACTGCCATAGGGTTTGCCGAGGACAAGAGCAAACGACTTCCTTTTTGACAGAATGTATTTTTGTAGCATTTCCTAGATTTTTTTTTCTTGTGACGATAGAGAGTATCGAAAAAAAAAGAGAGAAAGAAAAGCCATTATAATTTTAGCAGCAATTAACCTGAATTCGGGTAGGAGTGCTTCGGCCCTGCTGCGAGCCGGTTACAGCAAAGTTGTCCAGCCCAGGTTTTCCGTTGGGAATCCTGCTCCCACACCCCTCTCTGCCCTGAGGACGTCATTACCACACTCACTGCAGTCCACAGTTCTCTCTTCTCTATTTCAAAAAAAGTTATGACTAGAGGACACTTTAAAGGAACATGACCAGATAGACTTTGGGGCGCAGAAGTGATCTGCCACTCAGTGGAGGCAGCTGGGGCCAAACTCATGTCACATTTTTCTTTCTTCTCTTTGGCTCAGAGGCAGAAAATACTACAGTTTCTGACCTCTGACATGAAAAGAAAAGAAAAAAGAAAAGAAACCCAGCCCATAAGTCCCCATACATCAACCCCCCACTAACAGAGCAAGAATAGACACTTTGAAATGTTTAGAACAAAAACTTTCACACAGACTGACCTTGGTGCATTTGAGGACACCGGAGTGCATTCCAGATGAATTCGAAGCAGCGGCGGCAATAAATGATCCACTTGCAAGAACTATCATAAGACAATCCTTTTGAAATGCTGTGAAGCCAGCAAATATTTCTAGTGCCCCCAAAACCAGTTTGGAAAATGTAGAATGGTTTGTTTAAGGTAGTGGTTCTTGACAGAATAGAAGAAGCTACTTACTTCCAAACTAGATTTAAGTACAGTGGATTGGATATTAAAAATAAAAGATTCAGGGGGCGCCTGGGTGGCTTGGTTGGTTAAGCGACTGCCTTCGGCTCAGGTCATGATCCCGGAGTCCTGGGTTCGAGTCCCACATCGGGCTCCCGGCTCAGCGGGGAGCCTGCTTCTCCCTCTGACCCTATCCCCTCTCATGCTGTTTTTTTTTCTCTCTCTCTCTCTCAAATAAATAAGTAAAATCTTAAAAAATAAAAAATAAAAAAAATAAAAGATTCAGGGGCGCCTGGCTGGCTCAGTCGGAAGGGCATGTGACTCTTGATCTCTGGGTCCTGAGTTCAAGCCCATACTGGGTGTAGAGATTACCTAAATAAATCAATACAAATAACCTTAAAAAAATAAAACATGAAAGACTCAGGCAACCAGTGTATAATTTCAGACGCCCAATGCTGTTAGCATACTGTGTGTTCTCCTTAGATGTACAATGCCCTCCTTTCCAGAATATTCTCTATTCTTTGTCCCCTGGAACTGCTGTTTTCAGCAGCATTTTCTTTGAATACATTGCCTTGAACCCTCCTGTTCCCACCAGTTTTTTCCTGTGTGGACCTCATTTGCTTTTCTCAACTTCCAGATTCTATATCGTCTCCTATTTGGACCTCACATTGCCTGTGGAAGGAAGTACTAATGCCTCCAAAACTGAGTCCTAGACTTAGAAGCTGGTGCGTCGCCGTGGCTGATCCAGGTCCGACCCACGGGGGAGGTCGCTCCCGTTGTCAGGTGCCTTTATACAGTGTCCGGCACGTAGTTTGGATCTATGCTCAGTAAGTTTAGATTCCATTATTGTGGAGACAGGCTAGACCTAGCAAGACTTTAGAGGGTGGCAGTGGAGATGAACGGGTAACTAAACACGGAATAGAAATAGAAATAAGCTCTAATACCACCATGGCTTCCCCTTTGTCCTCAAGGCTCATGGTCCATTCCCTTTACATACGGGACCCCAAAGAGAGAATGCTTCTGGCTTGTCTTCTTATGTCGTCCCAGCCAATTTCCCACCATCAGGTTCCTCCTGGACACCTTGGCCTCTCTGCAATTACACCTAGAAGAAAGGCCTCTTTTTCTCGCACAGGACCTCCCTCCTGATTCTAGTTTCTGGTCTGAAAGAGTTACCTGCCTCCTAGGTATTTGACTCCATGGAAGGATGCATCTCCTTTCCCTGCCTTCCATTCTCAGGTGTGGTTCCTGAGTGTAGAGGCGGTTGGCTTCAGCGCTAGCAGTCGTCCAGTTGTGTGAGATCTTGCCCACGTGGCACACTTGGTGCATCCATGTAGTCACCTATGCCGTTAAAGAAGGTGGCTCCGTTACAACCAGGACTCACGCTTTGCCATTTGAAGGGTAATATTAATACCTACCTTCCTGGTTGATTTGAATTGGTTTGAGATGTCTACTAACTTGTCCCAAGGACTTCAAATTCATGGAGTCACACAATGGTAGAGGGAAGAGAGACCTGGACATTCCAAATTAGAATCTCAACTATAGAACTGAATTAAAGTGTCAAGGCTCCCCCAAAGGGAGTCTTTTGAATTTGCTAACTTCTGATACTTCAGTGTGATAGATTCATTAACTGAGATTAGACTGTGAAGCTTGAGTCTGGGGAGAGAAACTGAAAAGAAGGGAAAGGAGAGAGGACCATAAGGACAAAGGAATAATCAAAAGGCAGCTTCTGGAAACAACGTATCTGCTTCCTAATTTGTCTTCATCCCTGTCCTAAGACACCAGGGATGGTTTTGATAGCTTCCCCATCACCAATATCCTGACCTTAATTAAGATCATGTAAGTCTGTGTGCTCTATTCTCTTGCATAAAGACTGCTGCCCACCCAGTCTTGGTATGACTGCCATTGCATGAATAATATCAATATACAATTCTCACACTCTTACCTCAGGCCGACTCCTTCACTGTTGAACTCTATCTCCTCATCTTCAACTATTCAAGAATAGATGCAATTCTTAATAGTCTCTCCTGAAACAACTATTTTCACTTCTTATTAGATGCTTAAAAAATATTTTGTTCAAAAATATATATCTTTTTATATATATACTATTTTTCTGCTCCCCATTACGAAGACTCTCAGACTGGCTGGTACTTGCTGTGCTCATTTCCTCATCTCCCATTCTTTCTTCCACCCAATCCAGGTGGGCTTTGGACCCATGACTCACTGAAATTGTTCTCAGTAGGCTCATCAGGGACATCTACCTGGCAAGAGCCAACGGTCAGTCCTTTGTCCTTAGCACAGTCAACCTCTCAGCAACTTTGGACATTCATTCCCATCTTTTAAAAAAAAAATTATTATGTCATCTTTCATGCATTCAGAAGATATAAAGATTAATATAATAAACACCAGTGTACCCACCAGTCAGCTTAAAAAGGAGGAGGAGGGTGGGAGGGATGGGGTGGCTAGGTGATGGACATTGGTGAGGGTATGTGCTATGGTGAGTGCTGTGAATTGTGTAAGACTGATGAATCACAGACTTGTACCCCTGAAACAAATAATTCATTATATGTTAATAAAAAAATAAAAAATAAATAAAATAGGAAAAAAAAAGAGTTATGGCTGGGACCCAAATGCAATTAGGAATAAAATAACTATCTTTTGCCAGAGACCATGACTAACCTGATATTTTAAACTGTTTCCTACCTATTGTTAATGCTCAATAAATATTAAATATTAGAGAAAAAAAAAGAACATTTCTGCTAGAAACTCTGGTGTGTCTTTCTCCGATTGCTTGTCACTTGCTACCTCCTGGATGAACCACTCTCCTTTTGTGTTTATTATTCCCTTGCTTTCCTACATTGTTTCACTACATATGTGTATATCTCTCACTACATATGTGTATCAGTTTTAGTTTTATGAACTTTACATATGGTAACTTAATGCGCATATTTCTGTGCTTAGCTTTTTTTCTCACAACATTTTTTCAAAGATTTTATTTATTATTTGAGAGAGAGCATAAGAGGGGGAAGGATCAGAGGGAGAAGCAGACTCCCTGCTGAGCAGGGAGCCTGATGCAGGACTCGATCCTGGGACTCCAAGGTCACGACCCGAGCCAAAGGCAGTCGCTTAACCAACTGAGCCACCCAGGCGCCCTCTCAACATCATTTTTATGAGATTTATTCATGATGCTACTTGTAAGCATAGCTTGTTTACACTGCTATGCAGTGTTCCGATGCATACTGTATTAGTTATCTATTACTGTGTGACAAATTACTCCAAAATTTAGCATCTCAAAACAACAATAAACAGTTTCTATAAGTCAGGAATTTAGGAGAAGCTTAGCTGAGTTATTCTAGCTCAGGGTGTCCCATGAGGTAGCAGTCAAGATACTGGCTATGTATGTAGTTATCTGCAGGCTTGATGTGGGCTGGAGAAGTCATTTCCAAGATGGCACACTCACAAGACTGAGAGTTGGTGCTGGTTATTGGAAAGAAGCCTCAGCTCCTTGTCACGTGGATATCTCCATAGGGTTGCTTGAGTATCCCTATAACATAGCAGCTGGCTTCCTCCAGAGGGAATGAACCAAGAAAGCAAGGCAGAAGTCACAATGACTTTGATCATTTCTGAAATATCCCATTGGTTATATAGGTCAGCTCTATTCAGTGTGGGAGGCAAGTACACTTGAATAGAAAGCACATGAATACCAGGAAGTGACATTGGAGGCCATCCTGGAAGCTGGCTACCACAATGAATGAATTAATCTAATTTTAGAATTAATCTATTGTTAATGGCATTAATGTTATTTCCATTTTATTTTATTTGTTTGCTATTATAAACACAATTATTATGATCATTCTTGTTCAGGATTCCTGGTGCACATTGGCAATAGTTTCTCTAGAGGGAGATTGCTGCGCCATAGGGTATGTGCATCTTTAAATCTATTAGAAAATACCAAAATTGCTCCAAAATTGCCCCAAAGTAGTTTACCAATTTATACTCCCACCAGCAGTAAATAATATTTCCCATGCTCCATATACTTGTCAATACTTGGTATTGTCAGATTTTTAAATTTATGCCAGTCTGATTAAAATTTGCATTTTTCTAAATTACTAATGAGGTTGAACATCTTTTCATATGTTTATTGCTCATTTAGGCTTCCTCTAATGAGAAATGTCTATTTATGTCACCTGGTCATTTTTCTATTGGGTTATATGTCTTTCTCTTACTAATCTGTAGGAGTTTGTGTATATATATATATATACACACACACACGCATATATATATATACACATATTCTGAGTTACATATATACACACACACATATATATATACATATTCTGAATTATTAAGAAGCTTTTGGTGATTATATGTGCTGGAAATATCTCCTCCCAGTTTATGCTTTGTCTTTTTACTTTAAAAAAAGATCTTATTTATTTATTTGAGAGAAAGAGAGAGAGTGAACAGGAGAGAGAGGGAGAGAGAATCTGAAGCAGACTCTGCTGAGTGCAGAGCTGGATGTGGGGCTCGATCCCAAGACCACGAGATCATGACCTGAGCCAAAACCAAGAGTCAGACACTCAACTGATTGCACCACCCAGGCACCCCTGTCTTTTTACTTTTTAATACTGGTTTTCAATGAATAGAAATTTAAAATTTGTTCATGTTTTCCCCTCTGTGGTATGTGCTATTTATGTCTTTTTAAAAGACATTCTTCCATTGACTGAGGTCATAAAAATATTTGTCTATACTTTCTTCGAAAAGGTTTTCAGGTTTGCTCTTCACATGTAAATCTCTAATCCAAGTGGAACCTGTTTTTCTGTTAGGAATTTAATTATAATGTTTGTTTCTGTATAGATAACCACTTGCTCAGTTTCTTTCTTTCTTTTTTTTTTTTTTTAAAGATTTTATTTATTTATTCATGACAGAGAGAGAGAGAGAGGCAGAGGGAGAAGCAGGCTCCCGAGGAGCAGGGAGCCCGATGCGGGACTCGATCCCAGGACCCTGAGATCATGACCTGAGCCGAAGGCAGACGCTCAACCATCTGAGCCACCCAGGTGCCCCAGTTTCTTTCTTAAAACCCTTTCTTCACTTGGCTTCTGGGACATCACACACTCCCTGTCTTCCTTCCCCCTGACTCATCACTTCTTCTTGGTCTTCATTGCTGCCTCTTCTTCCTCTTTGTGGCCTCTAACTGATGGAGTGACCTGGGAGTGTCCTTCTTGTCTATCTCGATTTCTCTCAACATTCTCTCTCTAGATAATCTCCTCCAAGTCCATGGCTATAAATAACATCTGGATGTTGAACACTCCTAAGTTCTTATCTTTACCCTCTTCATATCTCCACATGGCTCACTCCTTGTCATCTCTCGGGGTTCCCATCAATGTCACCTCCTTAAAGACCATACGATGCAAAATACCAGTACCTGTAACTCTCTACACACTTACCTTGCTTTATTTTATATCGAAACATCATCAGTCACCTCCTGACCTTGTCTTAGAAATCTGTCCTATATTGTTTGTCCAACACTCCAATATATATGGCATGGACTTTGAATTGTTTGCTGATGCATCTAAATGACTAAGCACAGTGGCTGGTGTATCCTAGATGCACAATAAACATTTGTAGTAAAGAAGCAATGATAACCATCATTTAATATAACACTTGACCGCCTGTGGAGATCATTTATATGCATGTTTCTCCTAGCATCAATTTAATCTTCAGAGGCATGATTTTTTAAAAGATTTTACTTATTTGAGAGCGAGCACACACACACACACACACACATGCTCATGTGAGCATGAGTGGGAGAGGGAGAGGGAGAAGCAGGCTCCCCGCTGAGCAAGGAGCCCGATGCGGGGCTCGATTCCAGGACCCTGAGATCATGACCTGAGCCGAAGGCAGACACTTAACTGACTGAGCCACCCAGGCGCCCCCTCAGAGGCATGATTTTACCTATGTTTGTGAATATCAGCAATAATACCTCTGCCTTTGGCGGTCTCTTAAAATGTTTTACCCAGAACACTTGTTATTCCCAGTTCTATGCAGTATTAGGTGTGTGACTGTCACTTGAGAAGACTGAACTGTAACATCTCTTAGATGACTTCAGGCCTTGACCTCTGTCATTCAGTTTTTCACATAAAAGGGATATAGTTGTGAGAAAGCAATTCAAATGAGTGCACCTTCAACAGTGTTTGAATGTCAAATCTCAAAAAAACCCAGGACTATTAGATTAGTGGTTCTCAATCACTTTTCAGCCAGAATACAAGCCCATGGGCTACTCTTTTATACAACCCTAAACATTTTTACTGGAAGCAAAATACTACAGTATTGGAATAATCCTACAAAACATTTTTATTCACCACACTGCCAGAGTCACATTCCCCATTTATGCACAGGGTTATCTAATAGAAATGGTCTTGCTTCAAAGCCCCTCCAGGAGACGTACAGACATTATCCAGACCTCTACCCACCTTACATTATTGCTAAGCCAGTGAATCTATGTAGCTGAACCATAAAAATACAAATTTGCAAGTTTGAGCAGCCAGAGAAATTTATTCACTTCCTATGTCTACTGAGGGTTTTTGAACCTAATACACCAGAATTTGGTCTCTGTGTTCAAATTACTAGCACTCTGACTCATTCCACAACACAGATAGAATGAATTTGCGCATATCTCTCCCTGAGGACACAAAAAGGGAACTTGAGGCTGATATTAAAATAGATTCCTCATTCTCTGAGAACTCAGTGGGCTGTTTATGTTATCGAAAGTTCTGGCACTGTGGGTCAGGCTCTACTGGGTGCTGACAGCTCACCATCTCAAAGGACACGTTCAAGACAATGTGGGAAAGATCCCAGCACTTTGCAGAGAGGCAGTGGGGCCCTTAGGCCTGTTGACAGAGCTGTTGAAGGCGGGTGGCAACTGTAAAGCAGGAGCCCTGAACAGTCAAAGCTTCTTATCAGCGACGCAGCTAACTGTCCTCACAGAAATCTCCTGCAGAGGTGGCTGGATTTAATGACACTGACTGATGGTGAAACAGAAACTGAATCAAGAAGAGTGCTTTGCCCCACGGGGCTACAAAAGCACAACACTAATCTTAAATAAATCCAAAAACAGTAGCTGTGTCTAGTGCTCTAGGTATTTAGGGTTTAAAGATTTTATTTATTTATTTGAGAGAGAGTGAGAGAGCGAGAAGCAGAGGGAGAAGCAGGCTCCCCGCTGAGCAGGGAGCCCAACTCGGGGCCAGATCCCGGGACTCCAGGATCATGACCTGAGCCAAAGGCAGCCGCTCAACCGACTGAGCCTCCCAGGTGCCCTGTTATTCAGGGTTTAGACACGAGAATCCAAAGTCCCAGGAACTTCATCAGAGTCTAAGAGGTATGATGTACATTAGTCCAGAGAGGCTCACTGCCATATCATGCAATAGCCAAATCTAACTGGCTTAACCAAAAAAGAGTCACAATCCAAGATGGCAGGTGTGGGGCAAGGAGCTCTGCTCCACATGGTCACTCAGGGACTCAGGCTTCACTTACCTGGTGGCCCTTCCGTCTTCTGGAGCCCTAGACTCCTCTGAAGATTCTCTGCATCCAACCAACAGACAAGGGGAGAGGGACTCTTGGAAAATCCAAGGAGAGATTAGGGACCACATTCTACTGGCCAAGACTAGTTACATGACCACCTCTGTACAGCAGGGACTTGGGAGGTGCAGTCTAGCTGTGTGACTGGGAAGGAAAGGATAGTTTGATATTGGTGAGCACCAGCAACCTCTGTTGCAAGCATTTGATGAATGAAAAGAATGAAACCAGTTTTGAAAACAAACTTGTTAGGGACGCCTGGGTGGTTCAGTCAGTTAAGTGTCTGACTCTTGATTTCAGCTCAGGTCATGATCTCAGGGTCATGAGATGGAGCCCCAAGTCGGGCCCTGCACTCAGCACAGAGTCAGCTTCTCCCTCTCCCTCTGCCTGCCGCTCCCACTGCTTGTGCTCTCTCTCTCAAAAAAAAAAAAAAATTAATAAAATCTTAAAAAAAAAAAGAAAATGTCTTCAATTGCTTAGATTTTACATAGTCAGAAAGCATAAATAATTCTCTGCAAGGTGTGAATGAATAAAGATAGATTAATCTTCCCAGAATTAATCTGTATTCTTTGCAGAGTGATGTCAGCTATGTGGTGGAAAAGTCTTCTACTATCTTCCCCAGAAGGAACACCAATTTTGACAGTTGCCCACGGATGAGAGTGCTTTTGGGGAGGTCCAGGAGTTTAGCAGAGAAGCTCCAGCACATCATTGAAGGAAAAAAATCAGGAGTGGACACATGAAGATGGTAAGAGGAACAGTTTTATTTTACCCACATTGCTCCTCTTCCAAAGTGGAACAGCTCAGTGTCAAGAGAGACCTTGTCAGCTGGCTGGCAACTTCTCCCATAGGGGAAAGTGAAAGTATGTGAGTGAACGCTTGGCTTCCCCAGCTGTGTGGAGAGACCCACTTCTTTCTCAGTCCATCCAGAATACTGAGGTGAGCTGTATGACTCGGGGGAGGGGCTGGGAGAACAGCAGCCTGGGCTCTTGGAGGGCAGCAGAGGGACATGGATCCTACTAAGCTACTAACTGCTTCTAGAAGTCCATCAGGAATCCCACCCAGGAGCCACTGGGGACACCTCGCCTGCAGATCCATACAGATACAGCAGTAAGGGCAAGATCTCTTAAAGTACTACCAGCCTGCAAAAAACACTGGACTTCAAGGCTGAAAACCAAGGGTTGGCTCTGTCCTAAGGCGAGCTAGTGCCCACACCTGTGGAATGAGAGCTAACCATTTTGCTTTATTTCAACACAGCAGAAGCAGAATGCTTGTAGATCATTCATCCTAAAACTTCTTCAAGCCATGTTCTTTCATGTACATGCACCTTCAAGGGGTCCCTTTCCCTCAGAATCTGAGATGTTTATGCTCTGGCCCCAATCAGCTTTTCCAGGTTGACCTCCAAGAACTCTCCTGCCATGTTTTGCGTTCCAAATACACCTGATACTCTGTTCCTGCACTCACTCCTCACCCTCTGCCTCTGTGCCCTTCCTCCTCCCTCCTCAGAGAATGAACCCTCTTTCATATTCACCGGTGGAAATCCCATCAAGGTCCAGGAAAAAGGCCTTTTCCTCTGAAATTTCCCCTCATCTATCTGAATCTCCACAACACTTGGGGACCCTCTCTTCTGTCAAGTACTTCGTTACTTATGTTCATTGTTTCCTCTCTATCCCTAGAAGAAGTGATGTTTCTCTCAATGGTGTATGTATCTCCTTCAACTTTCTGTTCCCCCATACAGCCTAGTAAGATGACTTTCACCTAGGAAAAATACACGAAACATTTATTACATGTTTCATGGACTTAAAATGAAGCACATTAATGGTATCAATATTTGTCAACAAAAAACAACTTTCAGTTACAACACTTAACTGTGTGTTAGACTCTGTCTTAAGAACTTTTCATGTATTATATCATGTAATCGTCATGTAGATATTTCTATATAAATAATATTTATATTTATTTTCAGTTTGCTTGACTATTTTATAACTATTTTATATTTGGCTACTTTATGTATAACTTAATAACTCACTAGCTTGTAATATAGTAGTTCCAAAATTAAAATTAATCATTAGAGCAAATACAATATAAACTTTCCCATTTAGGTAGACTCATGTTTAGGAATTTCATATTTTTTTGGTTAAAAAAGGCTTTTTAAAAAAGATTTTATTTATTTATTTTGAAAGAGAGAGAGAGCAGACAAGCAGGGGGAGGGAGAGAGAGAATCCCAAGCAGAATCCTTGCTGAGTGCAGGGCCAATGCAGGGCCGATCCCACAACTCTGAGATCATGACTTGAGCTGAAATCAAGTCAGATGCTTAACCAAGTGAGCCACCCAGGCTTCCCTGATTAAAAAGGCTTTGATTTAAAGTACCTTGGTAGTGGGGCACCTGGCTGGCTCAGTGGGTAGAGCATGCAACTCTTGATCTTGGGGTCAGAGTACGAGCCCCATGTTGGGTGTAGAATTTACTTAAAAAAATAAATAAATAAATTGGTAGTTAAAAGAATCAGTGTATATTAATCAAATGATAACACATAGGAAAGTGGTGACAATTAATAAAGAAATGGATTGTTTGTAGATTGTGCCCATAACAACAAAAAAACCCAGTATTTTTTCTCATTAGATCATGATTATCCACTATTTTTTGAAGTGGCTTTTAAGGAGAAATTGTAGTGAATTCCTGCTCTGTGAGAAGAATTCTTTTCCTGCCCTATGATTCCCATTGCTAACATAGGGCACAGGCCAAATTTTTGACCTCTTGCTCTTGAAAGCATTCTCTTAATCACATTCTTAGTTATTCTGTCAGCAAGTCAGAAAATGGATTTATATTTAACATGCAATCCACGGTAGTACTCCTTGAAACTGTTAATTTTTATAGTCAGTCAGGCCTAATCACCAAGTTCACTGTCTGGTCATTGCCAAAGAGGTTGCTCACTCCTTCCTCCCCTTGCTCACTCATTATAGCTAGGTTTCTCTTTCTTTTATTGTGGTATAATATATTTAACATAAAACTTATCATTTTAACCATTTTTAGGTATACAATTTAGTGGCAGTAAGTACATTGGCGGATGGTTCTGCAATCATCACCATCATCCATCCCTATGACATTTTCATCAGCCCAAACTCTGTACCCATTAAACAATAACTCTGCATTTCTCCCTCCCACTGGGGAGCAACCTGGCAACCACCATTCAATTTTCTGTCTCTGTGAGTTTGACTATTTTAGGTACCTCATGTAAGTAGAATCAAGCACTGAATATTTTTAAATCGTCTCCTTCCTTAAAACAAAAACAAAAACAAAAAACCCTCCCAAAAAACTAAAAAACTCATGTATTATATAATAAGCATTTTTGATTAAACAAATTGGTTGAGTTTATTGAAAAAACTAAATAAATCCCCTCCACCCTGGGGCTCCTGGGTGGCTCAGTTGGTTGAGCATCCAGCTCTTGGTTTCGGCTCAGGTCCTGATCTCATGGGTCATGGGATCAAGCCCCACATCGGGCTCCATGCTCAGCAGGAGTCTGCTTGGATATTCTCTCTCCCTCTGCCCCTTCTCCAGCGCACGCTCTCTCTCTAATAAATAAATAAAATCTTTTTTTTTTTAAATCCCCTCCATCCCTCAAAAAAAGATTGCAGATGAGGGATTATTTGACCTGTATGTGTACCAAAGCTTCATCAACATAGGCTAGCACCACTTAGAGTTTCTAGAAAAGTTTCACTCCCTGGTCATAGGGGAGATATCCCAAGAATTCTGGGATTTCCCCAATCTCTAGGAAAGAAGATTATGCTTTTTGATTGTGAAAGTAAAAGGTTTTGTTTTTGTTTTTTCCTATCCCTATCAATTTAGGAGAATATTTGCTGAGGGGAACACATTTTTTTTTCCCCCACATCAAATCAAATGACTAAAGCTAACTGGTTAAAAATTTCAGTGTTTTTTTTTTTAGAGGTAGTCCAGTTTTAGTAAAAATGAATGATTGGTTTTTAGTTGGCCTCAAAAATGTCATCAGAAAATGCACAGATATTTCCTTTATTTTATGTAACAATTGTTAGCATACGGGCTTCCTTTTAGTTTCTAAATGTAAATGTAGACAAAGGGAGCTATTTATTTTGGTTCAAACACCTTTTTTTTTTTTTCCCTTCAGTGTTGAAAAAGGAAGTCGACTATGTGGTTATCTCATGATACCTCATGAGCTTGGCCTGACATCTCAGCTGCCCTTTGACCCCTGCAGCCATTGCAACAGAAACCACCTGGCCTCCCTCAGGTGAGAACTGGCAGCCCCCTGCCGCAGCTCCTCCCAGCGCTTCTCCTTTTCTGCCCTGAAAATGTCTCCTTGGCATTCACGTATGTGCAACCTGGAAGTATGGGGGGGAGGGGGGCGCCAGGGGTCATTTTCTATGTCAGTTTGGTGGGACACAGTAGTCCCCGATACTTGATCAAACATTATTCCGAAGGTTTCTGGGAAGGTGCTGTTTGATGCGATGAACATTTAAATCAGTGGACTTTGAGTAAAGCATCCAATCAGCTGAAGCTTTCAAGGGAAAAAGACAGACTCTCCTCCCCACAAGAAGGAATTCTGCCCGCTGGTGGTCCTGTAGATTTATACCACAACTCTTCCCGAGTCTCCAGCCTGCCAGCCTACCGCACCAGCTTTCAGATTTGCTAAGTCTCCACAATCACGTGAGCCAGCTCCTTAAAATAAATCTGTCTATCGTCCAGCTAGCTAGCTAGCTCCTGTTGTTTCTGTTTCCTGGAGAATCCTTAGAAAGCTGGGGAAGAGAAGTTAGTACCTCATGGGACATCCCTTGATCCAATGGGAAACAGGAGGCTTGGATAAACGCTTCCCCCTTATAAATGACTCTCAGGTGCTCAATATGGCTCCTTAGAAGGTCTCAGCGGGATCCAGCCTCAGTTGGTCACTAATGTGACCAATAAAACATCTTCCAGTTGGTTCTGCCTTCTCCCTGATTTCTCTCTTCTTAGCTGCTTGCTCTTGCCTGGGGATCACTTCCCAAGACAACCTACCCTCACACAAACCCTTGCAGAGATAATGTCAGCCATGTCTCTCTGTGCTTCTTTGTGTCTCTGTCTCTCCCTCTTTGTCTCTCACACACGCACCAACACCCCTCTCCACTCCACTTTCCTCCGTGTTGGTTTTGCTCTTCAGTAGGTTAAGCTTACCTCAACTGGAGTCAAGACACCCACAGTTTCAGGCTTGTGTCTTACTAACTTAGCAAGCCCAGGGAAGAAGAGCATGTTTCCCCCAGTAGTGCTAACAAAACTCCTGGCCTTCCTGGATGCTTCCTGATTCTGATTCCCGGGGCCTAGGTAGTGGCCCAGCTCTGAACCAATCATTGGCTTCGGTCAGGAGGCTGGTGGTGAGGTCAGCCCCACCCAACCCATGTACTTTGAGAGCAGGAAAGGTATGCCCATCCAAAGGGGGTCCATATAGGAAAGCAAATCCACAGACTGAGGAAACTTAATTCCTCTTCGACCTCATCTCTGCCTAAATTCATTCCCTCTTGGGGTGCCTGGGTGGCTCAGATGGTTAAGCATCTGCCTTCGGCTCAGGTCGTGATCCCAGGGTCCTGGGATCGAGTCCCACATCGGGTTCCCGGCTCCTTGGGAGCCTGCTTCTCCCTCTGCCTCTCTCTCTCTGTCTCTCATGAATAAATAAATAAAATCTAAAAAAAAATAAATTCATTCCCTCTTCCCCTCAAGACAGCCAGGAAGCAGCTTCTATTCCTTTCCTGATTACCTCCTGACTTAGCGCCAGGAGCCGGAGGACCCTGGATGTGTGGGCAGACCTCCCACCTAAGTAGTAAGTGTAGGACTTCCTCAAAATGACTCCTTCCCCTTCATTGCCTTACAAGCATAGGACTTCAGAACGATGGTGCCCCACTCAGGTCTCCCTGCCTCGTGATCTACCTCACCTCTCTCTTCCTCTGACCCTTTCGGTTTCCCAACACCAACTGAGTGTCCTACAGTTCAATTCATTTCTGACACTAACTACCCAGCGTTAGCACAGACCCCACACGTTAGGAAGGGCTCAGTCCTATAAGACTGCTCCTGCTTCAGACACCAGCTTGAGGTCTTGGGGGCCACTTGAACTTCTGTCCAACTCAGCTGCAAATTCAGGGGTTCTCACAATGCCCCCCTCATGTTTGATAATTCACTGGAACAACTCACAGTACCCAGGAAAGTACTAGACTTGTAATTATCATTTTGGTATAAAGGATTCAAATAAACAGCCAGATGAATGGGGTATATAGGTGAAGTCTGGAGGGGTCCAGAGTGCAGGAGCTTCTGTTCCTATAGGGTTGGGTTATTCCACCCAACAGGTACATAAATTGCTCACCATCCAGGAAGCTCTTCTAAACCTTTGTGTTCAGGGTTTTTTAAATCAAGGTGTCATTATACAGGCATGATTGATTACATCATTGGCTTAAACTCAATCACCAGCCCCTCTCCCCTCCCAGCCATTAAGGGTAGGGCTGAAAGTTCTAACCCTCTAATCCTATAATTGGGTTTTCCAGGTGGCTGCCCCTATCCGGAAGCTGTCTAGCTCCCACACCCACCCCCGTCACATCATTAGCATAGCAAAGGCACGCCTAGCTCTCAGGAAATTCCAAAAGTTTTTGACGCTCTGTGCCAGAAAACAGGGGCAAAGACCAAATCTTATTTTTATTATACCACACTCTTCTTTCAGGACTGCCTGCCTAGTGACCCACCACTTGCCATCTGGAGGAAGATTCTGGCTGCAGAGCGATGGAGATGGTGGGCTCCGGACTCGTGTATTGGGAACTCCATCTTCGACAATGATCAATGTAATTGATTTCCTTTTTTTTTTTTTTTTTTAAAGATTTTATTTATTTATTCATGAGAGACAGAGAGAGAGAGAGGCAGAGGGAGAAGCAGGCTCCCAAGGAGCAGAGAGCCTCATGCGGGACTCGATCCCAGGACCCTGGGATCATGACCTGAGCCACCCAGGCGCCCTTGATTTCCTTTTTTAAAGTGAATAAGCAGACACACTCATCAAAGTAAGCATTAGTCTTAGAAGCAGAAAAATGTTCACCTTTAGCCCAAAAGGCTGACCTATAACCTGCATAGTTTTTGATAAGGATTAAGTAAGTGCTGGTTGCTACATTCTTAAAGGATCTCATGATGTCCTGCACGTCTCATCGATAGTTAATGTCAAACTGAACGATAAGTTCCAGAGAAATCTTGTGGAAGTGGTTTTATGAGTAGAAATTTGAAGAAACATTTATGATCTAATACTCCATGCCTGTTCCCTCGCCCTTGAGCACTAAGCAGAAGACCACCAGCTTCACACAGCAGAAGTGCGGCTCTTTCGCCCCTGGGTCCTGTCCCCGTGCTACTTAAACTTACTAAATTGCACCGTGAAATGTCTCAAGAATTCTTGACTGTCGCGCTCAATGATCCCACAACATTACTAACTTTAGTAGGTTCATAAAAGAGAAGTATATTCTCATCAATGTGACTTTGAGCTTGGTTACCCCTTTGTGCTAGATATGGAGAGTCAGATCCTCCTTCCACCACTTCAAGGAATTTTAGGTTGAAGAGCTTCAAAGTTTAGGGTAAGATTCCCAGATGTGGGAAGCAGAGTCAGCAAGCAGCTGACTCTGTTCTATTAGAGTCTGTCTCCAATGCAGAGGGTCACCTCACCTCACTTGGGGTCATGCACTTCCTGGGCAGCTTACAGCCAGTGATGAGTAATGAAGGCCCAGTCATTTCAACTCAATGCAAGACAACTCTAATGGGCAGCATTCACTCCAGAGCCACCTGTCTGGTTGGCCAACGCCAAGGTTTTGATGGGTCTACACTGCATTTCAACTTCTTCCTTCCTTTCTGCCTGACCTGATTTTTTCTCCTCTGAACAGGTGTCATAAATATCTTGTCCCCCGAACTCCATCTCATATCTTCTTCTAGAGTACTGACCCTGTGACACCTTTGTAAAACCCTAAACCTGGTGTATTTGTGCATCCTTCCCAACACTGGTTTCAACAGTAAGTGAAATAACTAGGATGGCCCTATCCTCCCTATCTGGTATTGGTGATCTCAGCTCCAGTTAGAGTCCTTTTGACCCCCAATTTTCTCCTTGGTTAGGATTAAACCACTCAAGATTATTGCCATTCTCTTTAACAAGGATAATCTTAAGTGGTTTTTCTTCCTTTGAATGGCTCTCCTTCCTTTTCCTACTCAATGTGGAGTTGCTTGTGAGGAAATTGGATTCTTTTTGTTTGTTTGTTTTTAAATAATTGATCAATTTAAAGGATTATAGTCTCCTCACAAACAAAAGTTTTGGGGGGACTGTTTTCCCCAGAGACCTTCACTTTCTTGGTTTCCCCTCTCACCTAAACACAGAGGCTCTTCATCTAAAACTCTTGTCCTGGGCTGGGAGGCTTAGTTGGTTAAGCATCTGACTCTTGATTTTGGCTCAGGTCATGATCTCAGGGTTGTGAGATCAAGCCCTGTGTTGACTCTGGGCTCAGCAGGGAGTCGGCTTGAAATTCTCTCTCTCCTTCTGCCCTTCCCCGATCTCATAAATAAATAAATAAATCGATAAATAAATAAATCTCTTACCCTAAACATTGAGGCTCTTCAATCTAAAACTCTTGCCCTAATCTTTCTCTTGATAGGCAGTTAGCCTATTAATCAAGGTCCATCTCCAACGTCATCACCTGTTGTACATGCACATAAATTCTGTGTTCCAGCCAAGTCCATCTATTTAATCTTTGAGCATTAGGCCCATTTCTAAAACCTATATCCATGCTCTCCTCCTCAGGCTGCTTCTCTGCCTGGGTGTACTCCCCTGTCTTTTCATTCCCACTTCTAGTCCCCCCTCCTCCATGAAGACTCCCAGCTTTCACTTATTTCTTTGGGCCCTGAACACCTATATTTAGGAGTCATGTGCTACCTTGAACTCTCTCTTACTCTTTTATGTAAATGTCCTTTCTCCCCATCTCGACTGCATACGTACTCCTGTCTTCTGGAGAGTCTTATGCTCTCCATGAGTTTGCCACTTTCTCTGACCCCCTATATCACCCGCATGGCAGATGTGTCCATCATTATTGCTGCATAGTGAGCCATTCACTGTCCTGTGGTTTGACTGAGCTCAGCTGAAAGTTCTCACATAAGGGCTTTCATGCAGCTGCAATCAGACAATGAGCTGAGGTCTCAGCCATCTGTGGTCCCCATTCCCCATCTTACCTGAATTGCAACCTTCAGGGGATCCCTTGCTTGGTCTGCCTGATGTAGGGCTTGCTGCTCCTGTTCATCACTGTGTAGTCACATGGCTACTGTCATACTTGGTCTCACTTCAAATACCAGCATATTTGATCAGCATATCAGGAAGTAAAATAGGCTTCATGAGAACAACCAGGGACCAGGCAGAGTTGGTAATTTACCTTCATCATTGAACCCAGCTCTTAGTTGGCAGCTGCTGTTCCTCATGTCCAATAATGCTGTGCACTAATTTTACTGTCAAAGGGATACATGAAAACGACAGATTAAAAAGCTCTCAGAGATTCCCTTGAGATTGGCTTAAATTCCAAGAGGAGGTCATTCTATATAACATTGTTTTCTTCCTCTCAAAAACATTTTCTTTCCATTGTATGCCAACGCCCATCATGTGTCATAGAGGTGTTAATCATCTGTGTGGAATTATGTTTTCAAAGTCTCTGAAAAAAACCAGCCCTCTCCCCTGCCCCCACCAACTGAGCTCACAGATTATGGCCCTCTGGACATGTACAAACCAGTCTGATTTTTTTTTGCTATTGGGTTACCAGCCAAGTTGCTAAACTGACTTGACTTGTTGGTTAAATACCTGTGGATTCAGGGAAAACTAGTCAATCTCATTTAAATCAATCCTAGACACAGAGATGTTTCTCCAGGGATTGCATAGTGAGTGCTGAAGTCCCCAGCAGAGAGGACAAGCAGTCGCTGGGTGAGGTGATGACATTACAAGTGTTATGTTTGCACTCTTGGTCTCTAAGTCACTACCTGTGAAAATATGTGGAGTCGTAATGACTGTTTCAGACATGCCAAGTATAGAGTTTGACTCAGCATTTCACTTTGATGGGAAGAACCTCAAAAGACAATGAACGGACAAGACCTGAATGTGTATCATGTTACAAAACCAGGCATGTAGAAGCATGTTTCGAAAACAGGTTAGAGACTTGCTCCCCCTAAAATTTTGTCCATCTCAGTATGTGGCATCACTGTCCATCTAGTTATTCAGGCCAAAGCCTCAGAGTCGACATCTCTTTCCCTCACCATACCCACCCCACTCCACCCTCCCTGCCATGTTTGCTATATCAGCCAAGCTCTAGCCTCACAATCCCTACATTCTCAAACCTACCACTCATCACCACATCCACCAACATCACTCCAGCCCAAGCCAGCTGGCCCTCCTACTTGGACAACTGCAATAGTCTTCTACCTTATTCATAGATTCAACCAAAAAATATTTTTTTAATTTCCGCAAGACAAAAAAATACCATAATAAAATCAACGACAAATGACTAAACAGGAAAAATCCCTCTCCCCCCTCCACAAAACCAAGTTTAGATTCCTTAATATATAAAGAGTTAATAGAGTTTATTATTATTATTTTATTTTATTTTTTAAGATTTTATTTATTTATTCATGAGAGACAGAGAGAGAGAGGCAGAGGGAGAAGCAGGCTCCCAAGGAGCAGGGAGCCCGATATGGGACTCGATCCCAGGACCCTGAGATCATGACCTGAGCTGAAGGCAGACGCTTAACCGTCTGAGCCACCCAGGTGCCCCTATTATTATTATTTTAAAATACAGTTCATTATTTAAAAGTAAATATTTAAATGGAAAAATGGGCAAATTATTTGAGTACTTTGTAATAAAGGAAATATAAATAATTCATAAATAAATGATAAGATGCTCAGTCACACCCTAACAAGAAAAATGAAATTCAAAGTTTAATGAGATCCTGTTGATACTTATAAGATTGGAAAAATTCACAAAATTTAATAATGCCCTGAGGCTGATGGAGGAACTGATGGTGGTGGGAGGGTAAATTGGCCCATTCTCTTTGGAGGACAATTTAAAAAGTGATAGCAGATTGTCACATGCATTTACTTTTTTTTGACCTGGCAATGCTACATCTAGAATTTTATTTTACAGATATATTTGCACAATATAAATGCAAATACATATTGAAGGAACAAAAAAACCCAGCCAAATGCCCACTGGTAGGGAACTAGTTAAATAGGTTGTGGTATATCCATGGAGTGAAATTCTATGCAGCTGTGAAAAAGAATAAAACAAAATGACTTGGTATTGATAAGAGAAAATTTCCTAGAAGTATTATTAAATTGTAAAAAGCAAGATGCAGAAGAGCATACATAATATGCTATCATGTCTTAAAATATGGGTGTGGAAATATACATATTTTCTTGCATATGTATAGACTGTTTCTGGAAGAATATACAAGACAGTGGTAACAGTGGTTACCTCTGGAAATATGATCAGAGAATTAGGGGTAAGGAAGAGGAGACTTGCTTTTTACTATATTTCCTTTATGACATTCGAATTTATACTACATTAGAGGATTACCTATTTTTCAAAAAACCATAATGTATCATTTAAAATTTTTTTCCCATAAAAGTTTAAATGATAATTTTATTTTGGTAATATAAAGTTAAATTCTGAAAGATAAAGAGAAAAAACAAGTTTTATCTTGTCATTTTAAAGGAAAGCATTAGCAATGTTTTCTGGAAAAGTGTGAGATTTTACTTAAAGAAATAATAAGAAATTTCACTTCTATTATGTCTTTCTGTTTTCAGAATTACAACATATAAACTAATACTTCAGACAAAATAATAGCTAAATTAATAGTGTTTACTGTGAGCAATACTGTGTGAAATGCTTCAGAATTATAGTACTGTTTTCATCTCCCTGTTATAGATAAGGAATGAAAGCTCAGAGAGATGAATTAACTTCCCTAGGGTCACAGAGCTAGGAAGTTACAGAGCTGATGGAAACTTACACAGCCTGACACCAGAGCCCACATTCTTAACCACTGTATAGTTTATTTATTGTGTTATTAATGACTCATTTGTTTCACACAAAACAACACTTAAGGGTACATAATTTCCAATTCAAAACAAATACTTATCAGAAAAAAGCATCTAGCTTGACCATAGGAAATAAAAACACAAGTGTTGTAAATTCTTAAGTCCCATAAATAAAGCCATGATACTGTTTCTGATTTTATGGTCAGTGATTCAGAAAGATAAAAATATCGTATTTTAAGACACTTGAATAACAATTGGGAAATATGACAGCTGGGTTATACATATAGTACACATGATTCTTTGTTTATATTCTTTTTTTTTTTTTAAGATTTTATTTATTTATTTGAGACAGAGAAATCGAGAGACAGAGCATGAGCAGAGGGGGAGGGGCAGAGGGAGAGGGAGAAGCAGACTCCCAGATGAGCAGGGATCCCAGGACCCTGGGATCATGACCTGAGCTGAAGGCAGACATTTAACCCACTGAGCCACCCAGGTGCCCCTGTGTTTATATTCTTGACCTTCATGAAATCTTTTGTTTTTATTTTAATTTGAGTTAATATTAGTTTATATCAATGTAATATTTGTTTCAGGTTTACAATATAGTGATTCAACAATTCTATGCATCACCTGGTGCTCATCACAAGTTCACTCCTTCATCCCCATCATCTGTTTCACCCATCCCCCACGCCCCTGCCCTCTGGTAACCATCAGTTTGTTCTCTACAGTTAAGAGTCAGTTTCTTGGTTTGTTTCTCTTTGTCTCTTCTTCCCCCTTTGCTCATTTGTTTTGTTTCTCATGAAATCTTAAAGTAACAAAGAAAATGCTTTAGGTCAGTGTTAAGGATTGAATTGTGCTCCCCCCACCCCCCATGCAAGATATGTTGAAGTCCTAACTTCCTATTATAGGTTGATTTGTGTTCCCTCAAAATTCTTATATTGAAGTCCTAATTCCTATTACCTCAGAATGTGACAGTATATGGAGAAAGGGTCTTTACAGAGATAACCAAATTAGGGTGGGCCCGAATCCAATATGACTAGTATCCTTAAAAAAAGAGGAAATAGGACCCAGACACAGACATGCACAGAGGGGAGATGGTATGAAAAGACACAGGGAGAAGACAGCCATCTACAAGCCCAAGACAGAAGCCTGAAACTAATTCTTCCTTCAGGGCCCTAAACAAACACTAGCCTCCCCGACCCATGAATGTGACCAAATTTGGAAACAGGGCCTTTGTGGATACAGTCAAGTAAAAATGAGGCCATACTAATTAGGGTCCCAATCCAACATGAGTGGTGTCCTTATAGGAACAAGAGATGACACAGACACAGGAGAACCCCATGTGAAGACAGAGGTGGAGACTGGAGTGATGTGTTTATGAACCAAAGACTGCCGAGGATTGCTAGCAACCCCAGAAGCAAAGAGAGAGGTGTGGAACAGATTCTCTCCTAGACCCTTCTGAGGGAGGCTCACCCTGCCTGGCTCCTTGGACTGCAGACTTCTGGCCTACAGAACTGTGAAAGAACTCACTTCTGTTATAGGAAGTGCTCCTATGAGACCATTAACGGAGGGTGAGGGGAGCAGACCCGGAAGAGGACGCAGAGTGCTTGGCTCAGTTCCACAGGCAGTGATGTCACCTGGCCCCTGGGGGACTCTGGACTGTAAACGATGGCTGGGGCTGAGCTCACCCTAGACAAGGGGGCTAGAGTTCCTGCACCAGCACCCTACCAGTCACAGGTTACAGACCACCCCCAGGGACTTCACCTGCAGGCAAGTGGGATCCAGGAACTATAAGGGAGTTCTCCATAAAAGCACAGCACATGTTGCTTGTTGAAATCAAAAGCACCCCCAAAGACAGGAAGAAAAAAATGGTAAACAGGAATTCCAAGGGATCCAGGAAGAGCAACAGCATCATCCAACCTGTCGAATTATCTGCCCGTGATATCTGGAGTCCAGAAAGCCGGATGCTGATGTCCAGTCCTGCTATCTACTTGGGTAACTTTGGGGCATACATTTGCATCTTGGATCTTAGCTGACTCTTCTGTTAAAAGGAGATAATGTTAATGCTTTTACAATTTGTTTTTTCATAAAATGTTTGCTCTTTGGGGTTGATATTCAGATGGTATAACTATGTATTGGTTGCTAAAACATAAATGGTTCTGTATTGGGGGATAAATAGCCACTCCCCTTACTACTTTGGTCCCCTCCCTGGAACCCCTTGCATTTCCCTACAACCCAGCAATGAAAATGCTGGGCACAGCTGGGCATCTCCCTAACATTAGGGCCAGTGTTCTTTCTAATTAGCTGGCTGTTAAAGATTTTGACTATCATCCCCAGATCAAGCATGTGCTGTGTGTCTAATCCAGTGATCACAACTGTGAGGGACAGAAAAGAATTAGACCATCTCTGCCTTCAAAAAGTTTAAACTTGGGGTGCCTGACTGGCTCAGTTGGAAGAGCATGCGACTGTTGATCTTAGATTACTTAAAAATAAAATCTTAAAAAAAAAAAAGTTTACACTTTAATTGAGGTAGGGACAAACACAGTTTAAATAATTAGGAATAATTATGCGCTAAACTCTGTGTTTTAGTCCACGTGGGCTGCTGTAACAAAAATACAATTGACTGGGTGGCTTAAACAATTATTTCTCATAATTCTAGAGACTGGAAAGTTCAAGGTCAAGACCTCAGCAGATCCAGAGACTGGTGAGAACCCTCTTCCAGGTTAATAGAAGGCTGTTTTCTCACTGTGTCCCCGCGCGGCAGAAAGGGTGGGGTTGCCCTGGGTGAGTGGGTGGGGGTCCTTTTATAGGGGCACTAATCCTAATCCTGAGGGCTGAGCCTTCACCTCCCTAAGGTCCTACGTCTTAATGCCATCACATTGGGCATCTGAACGTCAACATATGAATTTTGGACAGGCACATTCAGTCCATAGTATTCTGCAATTCTAATACTAAAAAGTGAACATTTTCTGGAAGAAAAAATTGTCAAAACATAATGCAAGGGCACGGTATTAATCTCCAACTTTCCTGACTGGTTGAGTCCAGCCATGACCCTCAGGTTTCAGTAAGGCTCCAGGATATTCAAATTAAAAATTCATCAGTCAGTGGTTTTGTTAATGCAACTTCCATCACTTTATTACATTTTTCACAAATTAATGAGCTCTTTTCACATTGTGTATACTGATACAACTAAACTGAATACACGAGGAACCTGTAAAGTTCTCTAACCAATATTTTCTGTAATAGGATCTGTGGCATGTTACTTTCTAACAAAAAGAAGCTTTCTCCGGGGAAAAACAAAATAGCTAGTGCAAAGACACCTATGATTTCTTTCAGTGTATTCCAGGCCACATGGGTGCAAAAGGGAAAAGGAGATGAAAGAAGATCCACCATCTTCCCAGTGCAAGGCTTTGAAATGCAAATTCATTTCCACTTGACCACAGACCAAGAATATGAGTGTTTGATGACACCACATTGATTGACCATCTGGGTTGTGTTTGGTCCAAGTCCTCACCTCAGTTTCTGTTTCCTGAGATACAAAATATGACCCAAACTTACCCATGAATTTTGCCTAACTGGTAGTGTTCTCAAGGCCTAGTGAGAACCAAAGATGGCAATTAGAGCCAGAGAGTGATGAGTTAGAATCCAGGACCCTTCGGGAGAAGCAACAGGTATTGGGGAAAACTTCTGTTCTTCTTCCTGGTATTTTGGATAGGGCTTGGAAAATAATTTGAGAAAACTATGAGCCTCTTCACATAATTTCATGTTTACATCTAATTGTTTTCATCATAAATTTGACATTTCTAGAGTATTAAAAATACTGAATATTAAAATCTTAAAATAGTCTTAAACCATCACATCACTCATTTGAATAAACCTAATGGAATCTAAATGCCATAGCAATCTAATAATCACATCGTTCATTTAAAAACACAGATCATCTTTACAGTTGGACAGTTCTCATTTCTTGTTTCCCTTCAAACTTCTATTTCTTTTCTACCTCTTCCTTAGTAGTTTATCTTAGTGTAATTTTTTTTTCTTTTTTTTTTTTTAAAGATTTTATTTATTCACTTGAGAGAGAGAATGAGCGAGAGAGAGCATGAGAGGGGGAGGGTCAGAGGGAGAAGCAGACTGCCTGCCGAGCAGAGAGCCCGACGCGGGACTCGATCCCGGGACTCCAGGATCATGACCTGAGCCGAAGGCAGTCGCTTAACCAACTGAGCCACCCAGGCGCCCTTAGTGTAATTTTTTTTAAAAAGATTTTATTTACTTATTCATTTTAGAGAGAGAGAGCACAAGCATGAGTGGGGGGTGGCAGGGAGAGAAGCAGGGCAGGGCAGAAGGAGAGGAAGAGAGAATCTGAAGCAGACTCTGCACTGAGTGTGGAGCCTGATGCGGGGCTCCATCCCAGGACCCGGGCAGATCACAACCTGAGTGGAAACCAAGAGTCAGATGCTTAACTGACTGAGCCACCCAGGTGCCCCTTAATGTAATTTTTTACGCTTGAAAGTTTTTCTATTGCTCACCCTTTCATGATGCTTTGCAATAAAAATCTATAAATTTATTTATTTATGTATTTATTTTATTTATTTTTGAGAGAGAGAGAGATTGAACTGCACAGGGGTGGGGAGGGGAGGGCAGGGGCAGAGGGAGAGGGAGAGAGAATCTTAAGCAGGTTTCACACTCAGCTCGGAACCCACTTCGGCGCTCAGTCTCACGACCCTAAGATCATGACCTGAGCTGAAATTAAGAGTCAAATGCTTAACCAACTGGGTCATCCAGGCGCCCCCGTATATAAATTTAACTTTCTGTCACCATAAAATTGAAAGTGATAAAAATTTCTTTTGTATTGAGTTGATATTATAATTATAATTACTCTTAGTCCACAATTGATTAATAGAACAAAAATATATTACAGACTTTGATAAATGATAATTACAGTTTTATTGAAAATGTTGCCAAAAACCAGAAACAGCCTAGATGACCATTTATAGAAGAATGGATAAACCAACTGTAGTGTATTTATACAGTGAAATCTTGCTTAGGAATAGAAAGGGACAAACTACTTATACATGGAACAACACAGATGCCTCTTGAAAGCCTTTTTCTAAGAGAGAATCTAGACAGAAGAACACATGTTATATGATTCCCATTTATATGAAGTTCTAAAACAGGCAGAACTAATCTACGATCGAGGAGCATCAGAACAGTGGTTGCCTCTGGGGCAGATTTGGGGCAGGGATGGGCAAGGAAATGATGTCAGGGAATTTCTGGGTGATTGTAATGCTCTGTATCTTGACAGGATTTGAGTGACACATGTGTCACACAGGATGGTGCTCCCAGCATCTCATGGTGGTGGGGGGGGGGACCCAGGGAAGCTTCTGAACATCCTGTGATGCACAGGACAGCCCTTCCCACGACAGACTCGTTCTGCCCCAAATGTCGACAGTGCAGAGGGGGAAAACCCTCCCAATACAGCCCTGGTTCCTGGATTTTCTGGGCTAAATCCATTTTCAGACATTCACATCAGAGCATATGTCTCAAATACAGGTTTAGCAGATGTGTTCCCCAGTGTCGGGAACCTTGAGGGGAACCATCCCTCAAATTTTAGCCAGAGGGATGAGATCTGCGTTCTATTTTATTTTGGAGCTGGTGTCCTATTGGCTGCCTCTTCTCTACTCTCATTTTTTAGACTCTTAGACTAATGCTCCCGAATGATTCTTAATCTTCCACGATCTCCAGGGAACCATGCTTCATCTTGCCTTCTACCTTTGGACAAAAACTCTCACGTAGGGGCACCTGGGTGGCTCAGTCGTTAGGCGTCTGCCTTCGGCTCAGGTCATGATCCCAGGGTCCTGGGATCGAGCCCCGCATCGGGCTCCCTGCTCGGCCGGAAGCCTGCTTCTCCCTCTCCCACTCCCCCTGCTTGTGTTCCCTCTCTCGCTCTGTCTCTCTCTGTCAAATAAATAAATAAAATCTTAAAAAAAAAAAAACCTCACGTACATACCTACACACACACACACACACACCCGCAGGTGTGCGCCATTTTGCACACATCCTATCATCCCCGACGTATCTAATTTCTCCACTCACTGGGCTGGTCTATTTGTTGCCCCTTCTCTGCTCCTCCCCGCCCCGCACTCTACACTCAAGAGTCATTGGTGTCCCACATACTCTAAGGTTTGAAAATTATGTGCCAGCCTGACTCCTGGATGAGAATTAGAGTTGACGGTTTTCTGGAAAGCAAACAAAATTTGTTCCTTCTCACCTGGTCCTCCGTATCTCCTCCGCATAGAACTTTTCCAATGAATTTGTAAATCGGTTAAAATCTACTTGACTCAAATCCATATTGTTCACAGTGCTGATTTTTCTCTTTCCTGTCACAGAATTCCACTTCCCTGCTTTGGCTATGAGACCAGAGGGTCACACAGCAATTTTTAAAATGCAAGACTTACATTAAAGAGCTCTCCTGTCTTACTACACTCCATGGCACTTCTTCATTTCCCCTCTTCCGCCACCCACCTGTTCGTATTGGGCCAGAAAAGCAGCAAGAGAGGGAACACAAGCAGGGGGAGTGGGAGAGGGAGAAGCAGGCTTCCCACCGAGCAGGGAGCCCGATGCGGGGCTCGATCCTAGGACCCTGGGACCATGACCCGAGCCAAAGGCAGATGCTTAACCGACTGAGCCACCCAGGTGTCCCTCTTGGAGATTTTTTATATGTTACAGTTTACCAAATCTATTCTCTTCCTTTGAAAATGCTCTAGAAAATAAAACAACAATAAACACTGATTTTTTTCCAAATTTCTTTTTGAAACATCAATCTGTTACTTGTAAGTTTGCTTCCTACTCCTCTTAATACTTTAATGAGTTGTGTTAATCAGATCAGTAAGGGCTACATTTTTAATGATGGATATTTTATCGCTGGTCTCCTAGTGTGGTCAGCTTTAATTTTTAATCTACTAGTTTATTTATTTAAACATTGGCTGTTTGATCATTTGTATATTTGGTCTGTGACTCATTTCTCTAAGGCTGATTTCTTGTAAAATGCTGAAGCACAAATAAGGACAGTTATGTAATCAAATGGTGCTTTGATAACAGGCACAATGGGCATCAGCAATGAAATATGCATTCAGAGATCCGATAGCAAGAAAGGGAAAAAGTGGACTGAAAAAAAAGCGTGCAGAGCTTCAGGGACCTGTGGGACAATAACTGTCTAACATTCGTGTCACTGGAGTCCCCAGCCTCTGACCAGGGAGAGACAGAACACCAAGGGGAACCGGAGGGGAAATTTTGCTCCTTCCAGAAGCCTTTCTGAGATGTAGCAGTTTATACCTCCTGTCTGCACACATCCTGCAAGACCAGTCTTTCCACTCGTGCTTTTCATGAAGCTGTAGCTAGCTCTGCATGAGCCCCTTTGTGACCACTCTCTCTCCAGCCTGCCTCGTCCTGCTTCCCTCCCCACGGCTGCCTGGGGCGGGCACTCTCATCAACACATCAGCACAGAAGGTTTGATTCTGTTTTCTAGCAAATCCCTATCTTTTTATCCTTCTGGAATCCTGTTATTTATATGTTATTTCTCCTAGTTAATGTCTTTCAAGTTTATTTTTCTCTCTCACAATTTCCATTTCTTTGTAGATTTTCTCTGTCTTTTAAGCTTTTTAAAAAAATTTTTTTAAAGTTTTTATGTATTTATTTGACAGAGAGAGACAAAGTGAGAGAAGGAACACAAGCAGGGGGAGTGGGAGAGGGAGAAGCAGCCTTCCCACTGAGCAGGGAGCCCGATGTGGGACTCGATCCCAGGACCCTGGGATCATGACCTGAGCCGAAGGCAGATGCTTAATGACTGAGCCACCCAGGCGCCCCAGCTTTTTTCTTTCTTTCTTTTTTTTAGAGAGAGAGAGCGTGCGCGTGCACATGTGGGAGGAGGGGAAGGAGCGGGCGGGAGAGAATCTTAAGCAGGCTCCATGCCCAGCCCAGAACCCAATGCAGGGCTCGATCTCACCAGGAGATCATGACCTGAGCCTAAATCAAGAGTCAGACACTTAACCAACTGAGCCACCCAGGGGCCCCTAAGCTTTTTTTCTATTTGCCTTCCAAGTTGGGTCTTAATAGAGACTATTTTATCATTTATTTATTTATTTGTTTGTTTGTTTATTTATTTATGAATGATTTATTTATTTGAGAGAGAGAGAGCATGAGTGGGTGGCGCAGAGGGAGAGAGAGAGAGAATCTCAGGCAGACTCCCTGCTGAGCCCAGAGCCTGACACGGGGCTTGATCCCATGACCCCGAGATCACGACCTGAGCTGAAACCAAAAGTCAGCACTCAACCGACTGTGCCACCCAGGTGCCCAACAGTGACTATTTTAGCTTTTAATATTTTAGTTAAAAATGTTTTTAGTTCCAAAGAGTTTGTGTCTGTGTGTGTATGCATTGTGATGCGCGGAATCTTCTTATGTGTTCTTTCTGTATTTTAATTCAGCTTTTGTCTGACTCCTCCAACAATTTTGTTTCTCTAAAACCTATTACTAGTATTTTTTTTTTAAGATTTACTTATTTATTTGAGAGAGAGAGTGCATGAGCAGGGGGAGGGGCAGAAGGAAAGGGAGAGAGAGAATCTCAAGCAGACTCCCCACTGAGCATGGAGCCGGACACAGGGCTCCATCTCACAACGCTGCAATCATGACCTGACCCGAAATCAAGAGTCAGACACTTACCCGACTGAGCCACCCAGGGGCCCCCCTATTACGAGTGTTCTGATGGTTGTTTCCCTGTGGCCACCCAGTCCCTTTAAGGTACTGTATTAGCTTCTTACTGTTGCTGTAGCAAATTACCACATTACCATGTGGCTTGACATGACACAGATGTATTTATTCTCTTACAGTTCAGGAGCTCAGAAGTCCTAAATCAAGATGTCAGCAGAACGTCATTCCTTCTGGAGGCTCTAGGGAAAAATTCATTTCCATGTTTCTTGCTTCTTGAGCTGCCTGCATTCCTTGACCTGTGGTCCCATCCTCCATCTTCTGTGATCATGTTACCTTCTCTGGCTCTGGCCCCCTGCCTCCCTCTTATAAGGGTTTTTCTGATTATATTGGACCCGCTTGGATAAACCGAGATCCCCCCCCCCCCCAGGATCCTTCACCACGTCTGCAAAGTCCCCTTTGCCATGTAAGGTAATGTATATCCCCAGGTTCCAGGGACTAGGATGTGCATGTCTTTGGAGGGATATTATTCTGCCTACTACCTTACTTAAACGGAAGCTGCTCCGTGAATGAGGAAAATGAGATGGTGCCTGCCCCCGTGGCCCTGCTGGGTGGCAGCTGATATGTCATCAGTTCTCTGTTATAATACAGGGCGGAGGGCTCCCTGACCCCTCATCTTCTCAGCTAATCGGGCTTATATGTTCTAGCCTTAGCATAAAAGACACATTTACCTCCCTTCCTCCTCCTCCAGCTTCTTGGAATTCAGGAAGACCAGTAGGTTCCTACCAAAGTGCCGTAAGGGACCAGAATTACCCTTCCTCTTGGGGTTCTACGATAGTTAATTTTATGTGCCACCCTGGCTAGGCCATGGTACCCTCACATTTGATTAAACTCCAGTCTAGAAGTTGATATGAAAGTATTTTTCAGGTGAAATTTACATTTAAAATAAGTAGACTTTGAGTGAAGCAAAGTACCTTCCATAACGTGGGTGGGCCTCATCTAATCTGCTGAAGGCCTTAAGAGCAAAAGACTGAGGTCCCTCAAGAAAGAGGAAATTCTGCCTTCAGACTGCCTTCAGACTCAAGCTGCAGCATCAGCTCTTCCTGAGGGTCTTCAGCTTGCTGGCCTGCCCTGCAGATTTTGGATTTACCAGACCCCACAGTTGTGTGAGCCAATTCCTTAAAATGAATCGGTCAATTAATCAATCTCTTTCTCTATATGCACACACACATACACACACACACACCTTATTGGTTCCATTTCTCTGAAGAACTCTGACTAATACAGGTCCATAGATCTCCACAGGCCAAGCCCTCTCCAAGAAGGCTTCTCCAATCTTATTGTAGGACTTGGCTGTGGGTCCCACAGCACCTCTCCGATCCCGGTGTGGGAGGTCCCTGGGCCAACTCTAAGAGAATGGTGGCAGAGCCCAGGGCCCTCCTTCCACCTTCTAGGTTCCCCTGGAATTGTTTGGAGTTAGGAGAGGAGCAGACCATGGGGATATTTAAGACAACATTTTCCCAAAATTTTGTCGAGATTCTTTTTTAGCCTCATTTGATATCCAGACTTCTGTTAGCGTCCCAGAATTTTATCATTCTCTTATTGGATAACTATGCATCTTTTGTCTTGATCCAAGACATTGATAAAAACATAAAACAGATAAGAGCCAAAGATACCCATCCCAGAAACCCTCTCTGGAGGACCCAGTTATTTTTTCATTCAATCCTTCATTTTCCTAAGACTCTGTTTTTAGAAATTAAATTATTTTTGTTCTCATTTTCATGTGGGGAGCTTGGTGACCTTCGTATCAGAGGTCCCAAGTTTAAAAGAGACGGTACCTCCCTCCCTTCTTAGGAATCAATGTTTTTCTTCCTGGGGATTACTCGTAGCGTGGCCTGCCACATCCCCTGCCTTTACACCTGCCCCCCAACCCCACCTCTCAATGGACTAACATGCCTTCCCTAAGCTCAGTAAACAACGTCAAACTCCCCCTCTCAGCTCTGAGGCCAACCCCGCGTCTGGCTGCGGGGCATTTCAAAAGCTTCCGTTAGTAGATCAAGTGAGTCGTGATCAAGTCTGCCATGTTGCTGGGTGTTCTGGACTTGGCTCTAGTTCTAGAGGCTAAGCTCCTTGCTGCTACCTAGAACTCAGTTCCAGTCTCTCTCTCTTTTTAAAAAAGATTTATTTATTTATTTTAGAGAGAGCGAGTACGGGGAGGAGGAGGGGCAGAGGGAGAGAGAGAGAGAGAGAGAGAAACTTACGCAGACTCCACGCTGAGCGCAGGCTCGATCCCACGACCCTGAGACCACCAGCCGACACCAGGAGTCTGAAGCTTAACCCACTGCACCACCCAGGCACCCCTCCCGGGTCTCTTGACTCCTTAGTTTATTTTTGTAGCCTGACAACCAGTAGTCCCTTCAACCAGTCGGCAGCTGGTGGACTTGCCAGACGTTACTGCTCGTCTGTTTGGATCATCGCGTATGACCCTCTCCCGGTTGCCATGCCTCAGTGATCTGCACAACACCCGCATTTGACTTCTTTCTGGACTTCTGAGGTGCTAATCCCTGCCCGGGCCGTTGCCAGCCACAGTACTCTTGGCAGGTGATGTTCTGCCTGCTCATGGATCCCCTTCCCCCCAGCATCTGTCTTTGCCCCATGAGCGGGTCTAGACTTCTGGTGCAGGCCCCTCCTGGGCTGTCCCGTCCCATCCACCCCATCTCTGAGCTCCTGTTCTGGTAGAAAAGATATGGAATTCAGAGACTTCCCAGCAGGGCAGCTTCTTGGAGGTGGGAGCCGGGGTGGGTCTGGGGGGAACCTCATTTTGCCTGTGCTCAACTATATTAAACTCTTAGTTGTTATGAAAAAAAAAATCTGATTTTGCTCAATCATATTAGACTCTTAGTTGTTATGGACAAAACGTGATTTTCACATTCTCATTTTACCTCCCCAAATATATATCATTAAATTGCCCTTTACCAATGGCTCTTCTATAGCTCATTAACCACAAGGTTTTGTTCTCTTATAAAACTGTATCAGAAAGACTTGAGAGTCTGAGGCTGTGACGACACCCCATGTTAGCCTGAGCCCAGGAGGAGAGTGGTCAGGAACATTTTCTTCCAGCTCTTCCCAGACAGCCAAGGAGCCTTCAGCACGTTCTTTTTACACTTTCGTGACTCATTTCCTCACTTGTAACACAGAAATCCCGATGCAGTGCCAACCAGCTATAACATGGTGCTATGAAAAGTCCAGTCATGGAGTAATTAAAACTTTATTTCATATATGATTTTGACGTTGTGCATTTATAATACAATACTCTAGGGTTTGAAGAGCTGACATTATTTCTGGCTCTGCTTGTTGTGACTAGAAACTGTGAACTCTATCGACCGGGATGGAAAATCACTCCCTGCAGGGCATCCCGGACCGTGGTGTCCATAAAAGGCAATGTGCTGGCTCGAGAAATTGCATGATTTCATAACTAACCTGTGAGCCTAGCTGCCCCCTTCACATCTAAAAGCACGCTTGCACAGAGGGGAGAAAATCTCTTTTTTTTCACATGTTTTCATCTCATAGCTCCTTTCCCAAGTCTTGTAGTTAAAAAGACATTTATTTCTCCCTAGGCGTATTATCGCTCCTGGAGGAAGAATCTTTCATAGTCATACAGTGTAGCCTTTCTCCTAATGCAGAAATCCCATCTACAAAATTGATAGATGACCTGCCAAGGATTAATTTATTAATTCAGGCATCAACTGCTTACTGCGTTGCTAGACATTGAGCCAGGACCCCCTCATTGGCAAAGACTGAGATAACCATCCACGTGCAAGTAGTTTATTTGAGAGAGGGTCCTAGGAGATACAGGACATGGGGACTGTGTGACAAGGAAGGGGAGGAAGGCGACAAAGCCTCCATTACCGAGCAAGTGACCACTGTGGGCAAACAGAGCTCAGTCCCACCAAGGAACTTGAAAACCATGGCTTAGAATTCACCCAACCAAGGGGCAAGGGAGCTGGGATATTTATTTGCCAGTCTCCATTTGTCATTGTCTCTGGATGCTTTCAGGGAAATTAATTGTCCAACACTTCTGACTTCCCTGTGCACACTTTCCCAAGGCCAGAAAAACCTTCAAGTGGATAGTTTCAGGAGTCAGTGGTAAGTAGCGTTTGACTTCAGAAGTGAATGCCGAGGGGGTTCGCGTGGGGGACACCCAGAGCTTCTGCTTCGTACATGAAGACAGATTTAAGGTCCCCTTTTTACCTCCCTCTTTTTGACCTGAAGGAGGGAACAGGACATGCACTCCTTGAACCCAGTGGCCCAGGGTAGGGAGGGCTACAAGAAAATAGGGAAAAACACCAGAGTAATGGGTGTGACAAGTCTAAGGGAACATATGCAAAACCTGAGTCAAACTGGGGTGAAGATGAGTAGTGAGAAGAGCAACAGCTCTAGATGACATCAGGCCTTGACTAGTCGCCAGTAGCCCAAAGGATGAGGCTGGAATGACATGGAAATACTAGCCTTCCCACAAGCGTCAGGCGGTGCCCCGGGGGAGAAAAACCTGATACAGAGTGAAATCTTGGGCAAAGGGGTTGGAAGGAAGCAGGTGAGCTGGCCAGGGCTTCCAGCTCTTCCTTCATCCCTAGGGAGAGCGAGCTGCAAGCATGAGTGTCGAGGGGCCAGGCAGGAGGGCCGGTAGGGCAGGCTCACCGGGGGCATGAAAGGTGCAAAACTGGATGGCAGCGCTCTCACTGGACCTGCACCGTCTCCTGCCAGTTACCTGGGCCGATGCAGGGAATGCCAAGACTGGCCCAAGCCCACCGGCTTGCTGGGAGGACTCACTAAAATCCAGCAGGGTTGTAAGCTGTTTTGGCTGTGAGACATGGGAAGGGTGCTGAGCCAAGTGGGGTTGACCTTCCAAGGTAAGGCAGCTTGGAGTGAAGCACTCTCATTTTTAGGATGTTTTTCTCTGGGTTGGACTGAAATTTACCTCCCTTGAACTTTTCCCTGGTCCTAGTGCTCCCCTTTGGAATTCCTTGATCAGTCCCAAGAAAGTTTGTGTCAACATAGTACTGGGCTCATGGCAGCCAATAAAAACTCCCCTTTGGGCAGGTGCTTATGCGTTGTGAGATATTAGGAAGTTTATGGCAAAAACGTGCCTAATATCCCTTCTCCTGGTTTCAGCTAGGCTGTTCTGTTCCAGATATTTCCAGAGAATGCAACCCTGCCGTGGACGCACGTAGGGTCTGTAGTGCTTTACTGCCAAGCTCCTCATCCCCAACCTTCTATGTCCCTTCTCCAGCTCACAATTCAAGGCACCACCTCAAACAGCAGTGTCTTTCTCCTTTCCTTTGGTCTGCCCTTACAAACCCATCGCTGGGATTTCTCTCCAGTGTGATGTGCATCTTCTTACAGAATTTTAAACAGACTGAACATTTGTTTGGGTCATCTCTCTTTGAAAGAAATGTATCTTGCTACCCTATGAACCCGCCATGTGGATCAAGAAGGCTTTAATTTATTTTATGTGAACTGAAACTTAAAGTATAAGGAACTTTTAGATGGAAATGCTCTCTATGATAGGTGACAAGGCACGGTAACAATAAATAAAGGTGCCATCTCATTCAACCCAAACCAAAAGAAAAACAAACAAACAAAATAACTGTCATTGTTTTAACCAGAGCAGCATCTTTAAGAATGAATAACAAAGATGCACACCTATTGTCGGTCTGCCTGTGGTCACTTTGGCAAATTTGTGTAAATGAGACTCTTACATCCTAATTGGGATTTGAAACATGGCTCCTTTTAAAACTGACATAAGCCTTTTATTGTTCACTTTATGGTACCACTCAACTACAGACAGGGGACAATTAGAATAACCTAGAAGTTATGGAAGGAAATTGGAAAGTTTGGCTAAAAGAGCTTGTGTCTTTTGAGCCAAACATTTCCTGTGTCATTTTAGTTGCATTTTTATGGATTTCTGAGAAATTAAAAATAATGTGCTCTTATTACAGCAGACACCCACACCAAAGAGAAAGGACAAGCCACACCAAAGAGAAGAAGAGCAAGAATGAAAATTGCACAAAAAAGAACTCAGAGGGAGGGGTAGGATTACTTTTCCTGCCCAACCAAAAAGGATCAGAAGAAATGGGATTCTCTCAGTCTAGAGAATAATCCCCCCCCCTTTTTTTTTTCAGTTCACAGGTGGTTATCACCAATTCTCCTCATTTTACTAGAACTTCTAATCGCATTAAATATCTCAGCAGCGGGGCACCTGGGTGGCTCAGTCGGTTTAGCATCTGCCTTTGGCTCAGGTCATGGTCCCAGGGTCCTGGGATGGAGCCCTGCTTTGGGCTCCCTGCTCAGCGGGGAGCCTGTTTCTCCCTCTCCCTCCACCCTGCCCAACCCCTCATGCTCTCTCTCAAATAAATAAATAAAATCTCAGCAGTGCATTTCCAATCATAGTTACCATTAACAGTATAGTTTAAAAACTTCTACCTGGAGAATTTCTATACACACACTTTCTCCAAGTTTAAGTGTATATAATTTTTATATATTATACAGTGTAAATATATAAACAGGAATATATATATTTGACAAATACTTTCTTTTTCCTTGATATTATTGATGCTCTGACTATATGTTCATTTAATGTGAATATATTTCTTTTACAAACACCATTTCTTCTTTTCCCATTTTACCTGGGAACTCCATTTCCATTAATTCCCATTCTACCAAAAAAGAAACCATTTTTAAAGTTAGGCTAAACATATTTTTTCTTTTGATCCTCTTAATAACTGACATACAAGTAGGTTATGTCCTACTTCCAGAAGACAGCCTGTGCGCGCTAAAGAGTACACAGAAGGGAGTTGACTTAAAAAAAGTCCTTTGTCATTCTCTATTTTTTAAAGTATTGAAAATGTTAAAAATTGTTGCCTACACATGATTTTGCTTCTTGCAGAGTAAATAAATGTGGATCTTTGGTGAAACCTAAGTCCCAGAGGAAAGGTAATGACCATTTAAAAGGAAAAACAAGTTTCTCAAAACAAAAACAGTGAACTATGGTAGATTTATAAATGAGGTCAAAAGAGAAACATCTGTTGCTAATGTTCCTTTAATGCGCATAGTAAACATTTCCAAATTCAGTAAGTCTAAATTTTAAAAACTTGTTTTCTGAACTTTCATTGATAGAGGGGAAAGAGATCAGAAATCTCAGCAAACCATTCCTGTCTCATATGTTTCTCGTTCTTTTTGAGTAAGGTAAGATTTTTCTTTGACTTTCACAACACTGTCAAATAAATCTTACCTAGATTTTCTAAAGCAGAAGTTTAGCATGGATTGAGTCCTGGAATGGAAGCATCTGGGAGCTTGCAGGAATGTTAATTGCATCAATTAACTCTAAATGTCTCCGAGATATTACTTTCTTAATTCTTCTGAACAATCCTATAAAGCAGGTATTTTTCTCCCCATTTTACAGAAAAGGAAAAGTGAGTCTTCAAGAGATTCAGCAACTTGCTGAAAGTGGAACTGGAATTCAGAGGTTCGCTTGTCTCTAAAGCTAAAGTACCAAATGACTCCCATGTGGGGTTGAACAAACTGATAGAAAGGTAGAGAACCTGATGAGAAAATAGGGCTAAAAATGGGGACTTTCCCTTGGAGGTGTGAATGCATTTGGGAGTTAAAATTTGAAGTAGGTGTTAGGATGAGAATTGCGGTAATCATTAGGTTAGGATTCGATTCGGGGCTGGCGTTGGAGTTACGATTTTATGGAGTTTCGAGGTGAGGCTGGCTCCTGTATTTGAGGTTGAGAAAGAGGTT